AGCAGTTTATAATTAACAAAAACGTTATATTGTTAGAAAATATTGCAGATTATGTAATTTTGTACAAGTTTTCCAAATAAACTGGTTATATTCAATAAATAGTTTCATTGTTCAACTATTTTTTCCAAACTAATGAATCCTAGTTCTTATTTAGTTAGATTAAATTGCTTTTAAATTCTTGAAATCATTACAAGCCATTTTTGGAAAAACATTAAGAAAATGCCATATTTGTTTTTTACATTCTTCAATTTTATTATAAAACGATTCAGAAAAGCTCAAAAAATTGAAAAAACACAAATTTAGCAAAATAGGTACAAATTCCCATCACACATTTTGGGAATGTTTTGGACATTTCATAGAACACAATAAGGATTCAATAATAGTTATTAACAAGATAGATTCTTGAACAAAACAAGCAACGTTCTGATTTGTATTAAAAATATTAAAAACAATTTGAAAGGATAAATTGTTACTAATAGTCGTAACTATAGTAGTACCATTTTGATTAAAATTTTCATCTTTATTTTAGGATTTAAAGCTAAAAAATCGCATTTTTTCTAATAAAATCCTATTACCTTTTATATTATGATCTTGTTCAATATAATCTTTAGTTTGCTATTATATAAATAAGAAAAGCAAAAATTCTTACCTTGAGCATGTTTCTGACGAAGTTTGTTCAGGATATTTGTAGCATCAAAGCCTGCATTGTCACACAATTGTCTTGGAATAATTTCCAAAGACTTTGCTACCGCTGCAATCAGCAGTTGCTCCTTGCCAGCGATTGTTCTTGAGTGATCACGTAGGGCTTTGGATAATTCCATCTCTATTGCTCCACCACCTAAAATAGAAAAAGGATATATAAGTCAAACATTTTTTATAAAAATGTAAATTTTACACAATTAGTGTAGTTGCATGTATCCATTCCATTTACCTGCTACAATAGCATCATTTTTCAAAGTCCTCCTAACAATCATGATGGCATCATGAAGTGACCTCTCAGTTTCTTCCAAAAATTGTTCAGCACCTCCTCTCAGAACCATTGTGCAAGTCTTGGCATTAGGACAGCCTGAGAAGATGTTGAAACGTTCTCCACCAATTTGCACCTCTTCAAAATAGTCACAACTTCCTAGTTCGCTGGCTTTCAAATCTTGAACTGTGCTCAGAACTGCACCTCCGCAAGCTTTGAGTGTTCTGGAGAGGTCTTCATCGGGTACACGGCCTGCACAGAACATATCCCTAAAAAAGGACACAGGGATTATGATTTGGTAATAGAAATTTGGAATAGAAATTTATATAAATTTGTATATATACCTGTCTGAGAAGTACTGTGTTGCTACATCACCAATTGGCAGTTTGGACAAGACAACATTGGCACCAGAAGCATGGATTTTTGCTAATTTGTCGTACAAGATTTGCCATTCTGCATCAACTATTTTTTGGTATTCGGATACTTTGTCTACACGAACCTGAAACAAAATAATAATTAGATTTGTTGATTTTCACCATTTTAAAGCAAAAGTTTATTTCTTTTATATTTATGTTATTAAACAGTTGTTTATGCAACTTGATTTAAGGCCAAATACCATTTACACTTAGTTTAGATATAGATTTAATAATTTTCAACACTTACCTCTGCATTATCTCTTTCAGCTTTCAGTTCCAACTCGATATTCAGCAAGGCAATCTTGCAGTTTTTGTAAGACTTAGGCTGCATTTCAAAACCAGCATAAGAGAAGGTTTTCTTGAAAGCCACACCTATAAAAAAAAAATATTTATTTTAAAAACGAAATAATCTTGGTTCTTTAATTAGAGTTATAGAACAGAGACTTAAAGAACAATTAGAGAGTTTTAGAACAGTGATTGATAAAGTAGTTTATGTCGACTGCCATTGGTGCAAATTATTGCAAGGGGCAAGCAATAAAAAATTCTATTGCCCAAGAAATGAAAATAAGGGTCCACATCCATTATAAATTTTTACTTATTGCTTACTTTGATCTGAGATTTTAAATATAATTATTAAAGGTATAAATTGAAAATGTGTTTCAATGCTCTAATTTGTAGTACAGCTAGAATATTATAAAAAAAAATCTAAATCATGTAAACAGAGAGTCTGCCCCCTGAGACATAAAAAGATTTAGATTGATATCAAACCATATCAAATATAATTAAAATTCTATTAATTTATTCTATTATTGTATGAATTCTTCTAATTTACCTGCAATGAGTTGTGAATCTTCCAAAGCACCCCCGCTGACTTTCTTAATTCCAATCATGTCCAAAGGCAACAAATCATCTAATTGTAAAACAGCATCTACTACCATTTTAGAAAAGAAATCTCTTTGCTGGTGAATTAATTTGGAACTCAAAGCTGTGGCTGCACACTTTTCTAATAAATTCCTACTAAAAAAATGATATAAATAATATCATGTTATATAATATATATAAATACATTATTTAGTTAGATTGTTATCTTTTCTACCAACCTGTTTTCTGCAGAATCAGATTTGTCCAGTTTTACAGACAAAGCATTGATTTTTTCCAAGCACAAGTTCAAAGCTGTTCTCATAGCTTTGATTATAATTCTTGGATGAACACCTTCTTCAATAAAAGGCTTCATTTGGCGCATAAATTCTCCAGCAAGTAGAACTACAGATGTTGTACCATCACCGACCTAATATAATCCAAAATTTAATACTACAATAGATTTAAAATTTAAAAGTATAATTTAACTTTCTAGTAATATCTTTCTATTAACCTCTGAATCTTGAGATTTGGCAATATCAACCAAAGTTTTGGCAGCTGGATGCACAATGTCCAGCAATTTCATTATGGTGGCTCCATCGTTTGATATTGTGGATTTGCCATTTCGGTCCACAATAAGCTTGTCCATACCCCTTGGGCCAAGGGTGGTACGGACCTAAATAGAAAAAAATAAAAAAGACTCAGCTTAAAATCAAAAATTGCACTTGGTTTAGTTTGATTTTATTGTGTTGATGTTTTACATTTAATTTTTTTATACTATATAATTACTTACAGAGTCCACAACAGATTGGCAGGCATTTATGTTAGAAACCAATTGAGGTTTTCCCTGAGAGGAATCAGTTCCTTCTTTTAATAACAAAATTTGAGGTTGCTAAAAAAAATAGAAAAAATCAATTAAGCATACAAATGTCACGCCTCATGAATTTGTGCAATCCTTCTAGAACAAACATGGTAATTTCAAAGAACATTCTGGAATAATTAAACGATAAAAAACCAAAGTAAAATCATTTAAAGTTTAGCACAAGCGTAAATTTTGCAGGTTTTGTTTAATATAATGGAAATGTGATGTATTTAAATAAAATGTACCTGAAATGTACATAAAAGTTTGAGGTTAACTTTGAAAGTGGTTTGTGTTGAAATAAATATGTAGTATTCGAGTGCATTTAATAAATTTACTTACCATGTTGGATTGTTTTGTTTGCTTGGTTTAAAGGGTATAATCGCACACTTTTTCACAAATCTTTTAATAACAAAATTAAGCAAATAATCCTCGTGCTCGTGTCGGCCTACTCACTCCCGTGATGCGATACACAGAAACAAAAAACACCAACATAAAAAACTATACATAAAATTAAGGAAGACTTCAAATACTTTGAAAACAGATTTATGAGAACAAAAAATAAATTATTATTAATTATATTTTAAAAAATAACATTGTTAATAATAAATATTAAATTAAATTAAAATTTTTAATACAAATTTCAATTTCAATGTTGGCACACGATAAAGTTGCGCAACCAACCTCACATCAATCAATACAGCTGTCATTCAACTGTCAAATCACACGTGAACTACAAATTTGTAATTAAAAATAAATAAATCTCTTCCATATAAAATGACTAATAAAACAATAAAAAACCAAGATTCCCTTTACAAAGAACAACTAGAAAATGTCTATTTAGAAGTATATGTCTCAATCCCATCAAACATCTGTTAACACCCCTTTTATACCCATTTGTTTATATTTTAGTACTCGATCTTGAGAAGAAAATTACAAAGCAAAGTCGAAGCCCTAACTATTATGAATAAGGAGTTGAATGAATGTAGATTAGAGAGAGACCAGTATAAATTAATTGCAGAACAAGGCCAGTCTAGGTATTCCTTGAAAAAGCTTTCTAGTCAATATAATATTGGAACCTTTTCTGGTACTTTGGATTATGATAGAAATTTTGCTACGAGTGTTAAAATGTTAAATGATTTGAGAGAGGAGAATAAATCTTTAACTGTAGAGGTAACGACACAAATATGATTTCATATTAATTTGTTTGCTAATATAATATATCTATTAGATTGGTAGATTAAAACAAAAATTATCTGACCGTGATGGTGATGTAAGATTACTTAGACAAAGATTGCAGTCCCAAAAGGAAACAGAAAGCACGTCAAAAACAAGTACATCATTTACAAATCATGATCGGGAAGATTTAATAAAACAGTTAGAAATATTGAATGAAAAGGTAGCTAGTATATATTTAAATTCATGTGTAAGTAGTTAAAATTACATTTTCTTGTTTATATCGAAGGTTAAAGACTTAAAATCGGATCTACGCAGTATTATTGATGAAAAAGAAGAGTTGATATCTGAGAGGGATGCTTACAAATGCAAAATACACAGACAAAACCATGAACTGAAAATATTCATGTGTGGGGATAAAGAAATTATAGAAGTAATACATTGTATATAAATATATTTATTGATTTATATTTGTATTATAGTAGAAGAGCCAGTGAACTATTTGACTAACCTGTTTTCACAAAGCCAGAATTTTTTTTAATGATAATTTATTATCGGCCCATTAAGAAAATACCATTCTGGCAGTCATTCCGCGGTTGCGTCATCATCCCTTCAATTTGTGAAAATGTAAAAAAAAAATTTTTTTATAACTTGCTCGCACAAGGCTCAAATTTTGAGGGTGTCTTCTTTTAACTGTTCAGAAAGCATATGTAAAAAGCCAGCCCATTCTGACGGTTGCAAGGGTCTGCCAGAAGAGTACATAATAGTCATGACGCGCAAGGGTGTGGGCGCATTGCCATACATAATTGACTAATACCCTTGTATTTGAATAATTTATACGCCATTTTAAAGGTCATTTTGAAAACATCCGTTATACCAAACTTCAACTTTGTATCTCACCTTATGGCCGAGATATCATTGAAAATATGCCAAAGTGGCCCCTTTTTCAAACTCAATTTTTGGCGTAACCATAAAAGATATCGAGAAAAAAATTACGTGATTCTACTCATATTGGCTTAAACCACATAATGTATAGTAATATATGCTAAATAATCCTTTATTATTAGCTAAAAAGGATAAAATAATTTTTCAATTAATGTTTTCGGATAGTGCGTTTTGTTCAATTACTTTATTATTAGCGTTATTTAAAAGCTTATTGTTTTCTCTTTTAGTACTGCAAATATGGTTTAAATCAAATTTGTGGAACACTTTGAAAAATTGAAGAAACCAGAACCAGTACACCCGCGCGTAACGCTAATAGTAGCCCGCATAGAATTCGTTCGGTCGGATGTGCGATTCGATATCTTTTATGGTTACGCCAAAAATTGAGTTTGAAAAAGGGGCCACTTTGGCATATTTTCAATGATATTTTGGCCATAAGGTGAGATACAAAGTTGAAGTTTGGTATAACGGATGTTTTCAAAATGACCTTTAAAATGGCGTATAAATTATTCAAATACAAGGGTATTAGTCAATTATGTATGGCAATGCGCCCACACCCTTGCGCGTCATGACTATTATGTACTCTTCTGGCAGACCCTTGCAACCGTCAGAATGGGCTGGCTTTTTACATATGCTTTCTGAACAGTTAAAAGAAGACACCCTCAAAATTTGAGCCTTGTGCGAGCAAGTTATAAAAAAATTTTTTTTTTACATTTTCACAAATTGAAGGGATGATGACGCAACCGCGGAATGACTGCCAGAATGGTATTTTCTTAATGGGCCGATAATAAATTATCATTAAAAAAAATTCTGGCTTTGTGAAAACAGGTTAGTCAAATAGTTCACTGGCTCTTAGACTATTATGGGAATTGTATATTGGCAGGATTTAGATATGGATTCACTTATAATGGAAAACAAATATTTAGCAGATCGAGTTGCACAAGTAGAGACTGAAAAAGAATTAGTTAATCAAACGCTCCAAAACTACAAGGTAGGCCTTAAAAAATGGAAACTTGTATTCACTTTCTTATCTATTTTTTTCATTTACCTGTAAGGAATGCACTGATGATAGTGATTAAGTTTTGTAGCTAATTGTAATAATATAATTATAAACTAATACTAAAACATCCTTAATTTCATGAAATCGACTAACAAATTAATAAAACTAACAACAGAGTATGCTAGAAAATAAAAGGAAAAAATCTAACATTAAGTTAGAAATTGCAGATAATGAAACGATTATGACACAGGAACAAGGTATTATTGTAAATAATACTTTACATATTATAATTTTTAAAGTATACTTATGCATTTATACTTGATGTTTTATTAATTTCTTATTGCAGTGGCCCATTTATTTGAAAATAAACTAACTTTGGATTCTGCCATTACGTCAGCAAAATTATTGGAAATAAAAAATTTTGTTTATGGTGTTATTGAAGCCTTAAATGACCGCACATTAGCCTTGGCACATCAACGAAAAGCTAACAAGTAAGTCACAAGTAATAAATAAATTATATAATAGAATATTAATTAATTATTATTCTACAGAATTCTAGCTACAAGAATATCAGATCTAGAACTTAAATTGAATCCAAGTAAAAACAATGGTACTAAGAAAAAGTCAACACCATCTCAAATATTCTTACAAAACTATAACCCTGCAAATGTCGATTCTAATTTTGATGCAATGTTAGATGAGGAGTTAAAAAAATACGACAAGTCTGAAAAAAGTATGCCAAAACATGAAAATGGTGATCCCGAATGTAATGGGTCTCAGAATTTAAATGGTTTTGCTAAAAATGGTGAAGATGACTTAGAATTGCCTCCGCACTTAGATGCTTTGCTTAAGAAAGCATTGGATGATATAAAACAAGAGAAGGAAAAAGATAACAAAGATGATTAATTAATTATAAACATATCTGTTTTTGATTACTTAATTTAAATAACCAAAGATTTTTAAACTAGTCATATTTAAAATTGTGTTCATGTATATATTGTGAGAAATGTATATTTAATTTATTATAAATAAATATGTATATATGTAATAAATGATACTTTTTTCAACTCATATATATCCTAAAATAACGCCATTAAAATTTTCCATTTTTATTCTGTATCAAATATATATATATATAACTATTTTTTTTAACATTTTTAACAAATACAATTAATAGGTAGCACTTTAAGTAGTCTTTATACATTATACAGGCAAACTTATATTTTTATATATAATAGATATTAAGTTAAATAGATAATATATATGTTTGTTTATGAAATTGAAGAGAACTCTTGCAGTATAGCCTGCAGGTCCATACCTCCAAAATCTAAATTTGATCTGGTGTCATTTACAATACCGCGTACAAGCGTTGTGAAAAAAGATGTATGTGTCGGCTTTTCTGTGTATCTGTTGTTGCAAAAATAGATATTTTAAAGACTACCCAGGATAAATAATAATAATTCAACTTACCTTTCATATTGGTCTAGTGAGTCTTGCAGTTTCAATGTGAGACTATCGTAGTTGCCTCTTACAACTTCCAGCACCTGTTCCTCTGTTGGAGTGGACAAGCCTTTGCTCTCAAGCCAGGCTTGAATTTTGGGGGCAAAATGATTTGTGATTGCTCTTATATTAATTAGACCATTTGTCAAACGCATTGCGTCTTGTTTGTACTCACAATCTAATGCTGAATACCTTCTTGCTAAAAATAATTATGCAATTAATTATGAATAAATAAATTATAACATTTTTCTACTCACCCATTAAATATAAATTATCAAAAACATTTGCCACCCTGTTCAATTCATAATACAGTTCATCATAGCTGCTTGGTGTTGGCAAAAATGTGTCTCCATACGTGATAAATAAATTAAAAACATTAACAACTCTCAAAAGTAAATCAAAAACATTCATTTTTTTGGCAAGGTGATTCTCTGCATCGACTAGATATTTCACAAGATGAATTAGAGCACACCACAACTGTTTCCAGTCATAGTCAAGACGAATACGAGAACGTTTTTGGTAACACAAAACTCTGTGTATAATGCCAATGGATAAAAGGTAGAGCTCCATTGGCAATTTTTTCATCATGTGGGAACGAATGAATTCCACTAACAGATCTAAAATGATAATAAAAATAAATAGTATGTATATAACTGTAAGTAAATATAAATGTATATTTATATTACCTATGAGTGTAGCTGCCAATGGTTGACTCTGCCCCATTCTCTCTGTATTATTAATCTTCCTATGCCGCATTGGCATCCTGTGGAGTCTCACTTTATACAAAATATTACCATCGTGCATAATTGTATTCGCATACTGGTCCTCAGCTATACAGCTCAGTACAATAAAACACAACTTAACATTATTACAACTCGTTTCACTTTTTAGTATCTTGCATAACAATAGAACAGTATTGAAAGAAAGTCACCAACAAATTGCTCGGTAGACTTGTTAAATCAGGATTGGAAGGTGAGAACATGTTGGCATTAATTGATGTTAAATTTGTGTTATTTTGATTCTTGTATTGTTCTGAATTTGTGTTTTCTTGAGCTCCATCAGAGCTATCAGTATGGGCAGTGTTGTGTAAAGTGTTAGACGGGGAAGGGGGCGCACTCGAGGCTTCTGTTTGACTATGAGTTAATGTGGTGATAAAATTTCGGTTGAGATGTACTGCTTCATAAAGAGCTAGGAGTAATGCATTGTTGGCCCTAAAAAAAAACAAACAAACAAATAAAAAACTAATACATTCATATATTGATTTGTTATCTACCTAATCTGTTGCCCCCTTGTGCCTTGCGTTTCATCTGAAACAAACATGCTTCCAACCATTGATGTAAAAGAAGTCAACCACGATTGGCCTTGCTGTGAAGAATTATTTTCAGAGTTTTGAGATGAATGTTGCCGGCAAAACTCTGACAAAGATGCAGTTATTACTTGTCCATATCTAATAAAACATTTAGAATAAAATTGTAATCCTAGATTTTGTTATAAAACTCATGCATACCCATTTAGTGCTAACTCATCATCTACTATAGAAAGTTTTACTATATATGGATTTGCAGCTTCGTGTTTTCTATAGTTTACAAGTAATGTCAATAGCAACACAACATCATGACCTAAAAAAATAGAATTAATAGATATTTATTCAATTAATGTATCATTTATCCATTTACCATGTGCTTGACGAGATGTAGAATGACTTAAAAGTTGAATTAGGGCTTCAAAAGTGCTGTGAATCATCACGTATTCCAAAAGAGTATTTTGACTAACATTATCAGTTCCTGTGACTAACACGAGCAGTAATTTTAAACATAAGGCTTTTAGACTATCTGGCAAATTCCCTAAAAGAACATGAAAACTATTTAATGAATAATAATTGAATAATATTCATTATTACTAATTAATTGATTAAGTAAATAAATATTATGTCCATAACAATATAAATAATAAATGTTATTAAAATTACCCGTTAAAAATAAATTAATATGATCCAGCAGGGTCGTCATTCTTTCTTCAGCAACACTAAACCCCATCAAAATATTGATCACATCAAATCCTGATTCCATTGAAGTCTTTTTATATACAGCATGCGTTAACGCACACAAAGTTTGTAAGGCATAGACTACTCTAATGTGGTGCTCTTGACCTAAAGAAATAAAAATAAATATATTTTGTTCAAACCTTTCAAAATTTCTATTACTACCTAAGGTTTCTACACATTGCGCAAACAACAAATTAATATTCTCCTTCATCCCCAACAACTGTTCATTCGTCAATCTCAAAATCTCTGCCTCCAGACTAACCGCTTTCGGTTTCAACAAAAAGAATTCATCCCAGAAAGATTGTACATTCACAGGAGGCTTTTCCTCCCCTCTGAAGAAGGACTCATATATCAAGACTACTTTTTCTTTGAATTGTCTCTTGGAGCCCGAGCCACTTCTTTTTCTGGTCGTCATTTTGAAAACACTGTAAATAACGATAACGGTGGTTAAGGAAGAGACTGTGTTTTTATTTATTTGTATGGAGAAAGTCTTTGAAATTATAATCATTTTAATTAATTGAGGTTATGAAAACAAAACAAGTGATTTGGAAGTGAATTTAATTCAAAAATACCTTGGATTTTAATCCAGTGGAAAGGGAAGTGATATTAATTCTTATATGTAATGGATTTTAATTAATATTTATTGTATTTTCATATATATTTCAACATATTGTTTAAGAATTTGTCACATATAATCATGTTACACCTTTTGACGTTTTGATGACATTTTGATTATCCCATCTGGTAATACTAAATTTAGACAAATAAGAAAACCGATAAGATTTTAAATTCAAATTTTAATTTATCTCTAAAATATAAGGCTATTAACTAGAATTTAAAAAAATGATTCACTACATTTTATTGACAAGCATCTAGTGTCATTTAATTTAGTTTATCAGTTACTTTATAATATATTTATTTATTAGTATGTAATAATTTTTTTTATTTAATTTTGTTGATATTCAAAGGAAAAAGATTTATTTAATGCCTTTAACCTAGTACTGATTATGAAAGAATACTCAATGGTTTGCAATAAATTCATTTCATTGTGAAAAGAAAGTGGTTTGTTTCAACAATATAATTAAATTAAAAATGATTTGTTTTGTTGCTTCTCGACATGATCATTTAATGTAAAATTTTCGATATTTCAAATAATTATATGTGTAAAATTTTACATAATTATTTAACAAAAACAATTCTCACATCTTCAAATAAAACAATGTTCACATCTTTCACAATTTATTTCATCTTTCAATATTCTATTCTATTTATAAACATAATTATAATAATAATATTTATAAATTTCATAATAATAAAATTAACCTTATATGTACACAAATTTATTATATTATATATTAATCTCGATTTATATAACTTCACTATTAGCTGGTATTTTCTGCTTGCTGTTGCTTTTTGAGTTCTAATAGTTTTATATGTTCTTCTAGAAGAGGATCTTCTGTTCTTGGACCAGATTGCATCTGTCTTTTAGCATTATTACGCGTTTCTTCTAATTGATAAGACCAATGCCTAAAAGCAATAGAAATTTAAATATAAGGTAATTTAACTATATATTTATATATATTATTACCTCAATTCTTGCACTGTGGTACCCGTAAGATACAATACTGTCAGTGAAATAGTACCAGCAATACCTCCCAAAACCAAACCTAAACCACCGCCAACTATCATGCCCTTAGGGCCCATTCTGAATTTGTATAAAGCCCCTGTTAACGAGCCTGCTGCCAAATATTCCCATATAGAAGATCTATCTCTATAAACTGATATGACCGTAGTTATTGTGATGTAAGAACACGTGAATAATGCTAATCGCCAGCCCCACATAAATGCACCTTGAATAATAGAAAAAATTAGGATGTTACATGTATATACTCAAACTAGTATTACCTTTTCCAAAACCGATAGTGACTTGGTTTTGCAATTTCTGTTTAGCCTCTTGCATACTCGTGAATGATGTAGCTTGGTTATTGGACATGAAATCTTCATAAGCCATTTTGGATTTAATGAAGCCCCCATAAACGGCACCTGTAAGTGCTCCAAAACTCGTAGCTTGCACTATAGACGTTAATTCTGGGCTGATTATTCCAAATTCGTCCATTGAAAACATTTTATATAACCTATCCTTCGGTGTTTCAGATTCCAATTTCTTTTTGATCATTTCTGCCGTTGTTTTTGTGTCTGGGAGTATATCGTGGTCTGTAATAGGCATTACGCCCGCTATTAGGGGGGTTAATCTACGTAAACTACTTCTAATCATTTTTATTTATTATTATAATTTTAGCACGCAAGAATGTGCAGACAAACGTCATAACCTAGAAATGTCATACGATAAATGTCAAATGAAGAAGAGGATAAGGGTGTAGTCACACAGGGGTAAATGTATAATGGAAATTTATACTCTGTGTGATACACCTTTAGAATGATAACGGTTTTTGTATTTTCAAAATTTCATCGTCCACGTTTAAAATTTTTGGAATTACGTTTTAAAATATACACGTATTATGAAATATACAAATAGTATTAATGTTTTAAGTCCGATTGCCATCTAAATATGTTTAATTAAAATAAGTCGCACATAAAAGTGTCCAATTTTATTGTTCATTTAATGATTGCAATGTTGCAAATTATATAATTAGTCGAACTTTATGAGACATGGTCTATTTATTTTCATTGTTAACATTTAAATCTATCACGGAAATTATAACAATGGACAGATCTGTTTTATTGATTTATCCTTGACAAAACAGTTTTTGTCGCACATTTGTTCTAAATTACTGTAAAAGTACAAATACAAAAATAAAGTATTCTACAATATACTTTCCATAGATTTTGGAAAAGATTTATGTAATTCTACCATTTTGTTTGCTAACTTTATGAGAATTCAATTACATATATATATTGTTTTTAATATTTAGATATTTTTCATAAACTTGCACATTTTGACCAAAATTGGACAATAATAGAAGTACTTAAGAAGGTGTAAATTTTCTGTAGCTGATTTCAATAATGTTGTTTTCAATAACTCTATTACATATTTGTTTATTTTACCAATATTTCCATCGCCTCCATTGTTCTCTAAATATGTTCCAGCAACAACAATAGTAATAATAACAATAATATTGTTCGTTCGTTCGTTTGAATTTAATAAGACTAAAATTTAATGGAGTCCATAAAAATGGTTTCGAGGAAGCGAACGCGTACAATAAGTGCATAAGTGGCCATCAAATAAATAAATTTAACATTTATTAAATATATGCGACTGCTATACCTTGAGGAATATTTATTTATTCGTAACATATTATTATATTAATATATAATTATTAAAAATAAACAAATGATAAAGAAAAATATAAGTTCATCTAAGTAAAAATATATATAATTTGTTCTTTAATTAATATCAAAATAATGTTTAAGAGTTGTTTTTCCAAATTTTAGACTAAAATTTTAATTTTTAATTTTATTTTTGAGACATTTTTATTATTTCAAAATATGCTTAATTTTCGAGGCTCCTTCCGAAAAAAACTTCACAATTAGAATTAACTCTCTCTTTCTCTGTATGGGAGGCCACAAAGCCTCCGTCAGACAAAACTAAAAAAATCCTAAACACTTAAAATTAATTATAATTAGATATTATCTCTGAAAATTTATCTACAATAAGATACCAATCTTAATATGTGAATGTCCCCCGGCATCCCCTTCGGAATCCGACACTGACTTCTATTTATGCAAAGCACTAGTTTATAGTAAATTTTATCAGAAATATTTTTTTTTAATTTCAATATTTATTACAACTGTTAAATAATTAACATCTAGTAATATTGATAAATAATAACATAAATTTAAATAAATAAGGGTGAAAAGGATAGAATTTACATGAAAATAATATCCGTAATATGATGATTTAATATAAAATAGAAGCAAATAATAATAAAAATAAAATTAATAAATAATATAAATAAAATTTCTGAATAATAAAATAATACTAGAAAAACAATGAAATATGCTGTAAATAATCTATCTAAAAATATTTAGTGGTTAAATTATATTTAAATGACTGAAAACAAACTCTAAATCAATTAAAAAAGGGGTCTCTTATTTCCTTGGAGCACCATTCGGAATTCCTTCCTGTTTTCAATCAATACAAAAAATTATTTTGGAGTAAATTTTATTCAAATTAAAATAGTTGAAAACCAAAATCATCTAAAAAAATACCAAAACTAAAAAAAAATCTCCTCTACATCTCTTCTCTAGATCTACCAGAACAACCACCCTTAGTGCAAAAGAACATATGAACAAAACTAAAAAAAAAAATGCTCATCTACAAAATGTACATTTTTTGTCAGTGTCTTCACGAGCCCCTTACCAAATCCTCGAAAAAAGTAAACCAAACAAAAAAATCTGTTCTCTAAAATTAGGTACATTTAATTTCCCTGGGGCTCCCTTTGGAATCCGTTCATGTCTTCAATCAACATACACACCTTATAGTAAATTTTATTTATTTATCAATGGCTGAAAACAAAAACCGTCTAAATCAACTCTAAAAACTAGCTGTAAGTGGAATTCTGTCTTGAGGCAATTATGGCATCGTGCCTTAAGGCAAATTGCTGAAACTTCCCGTACCGTAACAAAATGTTCGAGGAATACTGAAGAATTATATAAACTGAATTGCAAAGTTGAAATTATTTGTAAAGTATGTTAGAACTATAGTCAGAATTAAAAATAAAATCTGAATTATTTTCGATATACAAAAAATTAAAAAAAAAAAAAATTGAAACAATTTTTTTTTCCAAATCAATTATTTTGTTAAGACAAGCAGAAAGTTCTTTAAATCATTTAAATCGGACGCTTAGTTCTCTCAAAAACTGCCATTTTTTACATATTTAGCTCCGTATCTTCTAAATGGCTGGGCCTGCCTTTGTCAAAAACTAATAAACACTTCTCCCAATCATTGCTAATTGAATGTTTTTAGATCATTCAAATCGGATACTCCGTTCTCTCAAAAAGTCAATTTCTATTTTCTGCACTCTTTGCTCCGTATCTCCGAAACGGCTGGACCTGCCTTTGCCAAAAACTAATCAGCTCTTTTCCCTATCAATAGAAATCGAATGTTTTTTGAACCATTCAAATCGGTTGATCCGTGCGCCCGAAAACGTGAATGAAAATTGGTATCCATACATACATACACACACACACACACACACATCCATTTTTTCTGAGGTATGCCAAAATGTTCAGAAACCTTCAAAACGTCGAGAAATGTAAAAATTTTCAATTCCGATTTTTGGCCCATTACAATAACTTACCCTACGGGAAGTTAATAAATACAATGTCAAAATTAAAAAAAAATCTCTTGCACATTCCTTGATAGTTTTCAAGTATCCAGCGGAGCACCCTTTGCGAAAAAGAATACTTTAACATCTCACCACCACAACCAGATCATTTTTGGTTACCCAGAGCACCCCCCTTAAATTTAACGTAAAAATGAACATCACAAAACAAAAAATACCGTCCCCTACAATTACACATATTTCATTTATCTTTTCCCCGGGGGGCCCCTCCGGAGTCCGCCCCTGTCCCCGATTCGTGTTTATATCTTATTCTGTCGTAAGTAGAAAAAGATTTGCACGTTCTCGTTCTAAACAGATTTGAACAATTTAGATGAGATGCGAAATGAATGAGCGGACCCCCCAATCCTCTCTCTATCGGGGGGCTCTTTATAAATAAAAGTGGATTCGTTCAATTGACTCGATTCAGTGCTATAGGAAATATCTGAGAGACAACATCGAATTTTTGGAAAGAAGATAAATAAGGATGAAGCTTTATTTGGTGGCTGTCGTTTGTGAGTGATAGAATATCTTTTAATTATTATTTATAACACTTTTTTCTGATAAATGTTATATAACAATAACTAATAATTGAGCGAAACTTTTTAAAAAACTTGTATTATTTTTATGTATTCGCTTTGGCTTTAATCAAAGCCTTCATTGGGTGGGAAATTTGTTGATACTAATATTGAAAATAAGATAAAAAATATATGGAGTAGAAAATAAGCTAATTATTAATTAAATTTTAAATTAAAATTTAATTAGTGTAATAGTGCACTATTACTAATTATATATATTTTTATATTATTATTATTTTTTTGTTATAATTTATTTTTGTTAATCAAGACTTTGATGTTTTATTTACAAAATTGATATGTTCAAAAAAAGAAATAATAATTTTTATATTATTGATATATTATTATCAAAAATTAATTTCTTCATTAACATCCAGAAGGAAAAGTTTTGCCAGAAAATCCGATTCGTTAATTTTAGTCATTCTGAATCGTTTGGTACCGAAATTTATCCTTATTCGAATTCGAAAAATATCAAAGGACAAATAAGGATCCTTATTTGTCCTTTGATATTTTTTAAAAAATTGCTGATTTCAAAAATTTAAAAGCCATTTATTTATGGATCTGTATAAGCATTTGTTTTGAATATTTTTGTGCGGTGATCGGCTGAGCCGTTTTTTTATAATCAGCAAAGTGGAATTTTTTTGTCCACGTTTTCGTCAAAAAACCTGACCCGATTTTGAAAATTTAAAATCTGTTTGAAAAGTAGTTGGAAATGCATATAAAATATTATAGTGAATGCAACTATTTTCTTTGCACTTATTTTCTTTAATTTTACATTTCAAGTCATTTTGAATCGTTTGACCGAAATTGGAAAAATTTGTCTTTTTGTCGATATTTTCCAAAAACCTGCTGATTTCAGAAATTTAAAATCCATTTGATGGTTTTGTGCAGCGATCAGCTGAGCCGTTTCTTTATAATCAGCAATTACTGGAAATGTTTTCCAAAAAAAATCGAAACCGGTTTCGAAAATTTAAAATCCGTTCTAAAAGTAGTTGGAAATGCATATAAAATATTATAGTCAATACAAATATTTTCTTCATATTAAAAATTACAGAAAAACTTTTACTGATGTTTGTTTTTACCTAATAAAAACAAAAGAATGTATATATTTTACAGATTTGTTAAATTTGCTGATACAAAAAAATTTATAAAAATATTTGAAAATTGTTTAAAATTATAATAATTATAATATAGAATACAAAAATAATATATTATGAAAAAAATAAGTATTTATTATTATTTTTTATCAAAATCCATAAATTCCTCTCTGGTTTTAATACAGATATAATTTTCTATTCCCATTAGCATCAATTCAAGGTAAACCGCTCCACGATTCAATTTCAAGTCTTTTATGTCTTTATTTAAATAAAAATTATATTTATTTACAACTTTTATGTAATAATCCATTAATGAATCATGCAATAAACTCTTTTATATCATTTATTGCAATAATAATGATCATTCAATGTCGGACGAATGTCGTTCTGTTTATTAATTGGATAATATTTGTTGATAATGGACATAAAATTTGTATAATAAATTTGTTGTTAGGTTTTTAAATCTTTAAAATCGGTGCAGCCGTTTTTGAAAAAAACGTCGATGAAGATTCAAAATTTGACTCACACGTATATTTTCTAATTTCGGTGTAAAATGATTAAGAATAACTTGAACCGTCCAGAAATAATACAAATAATTAAATTTTTTGCATTTATATAATTTATACAAATGTACTGATAAATACCTTTTTAATTCCATGCCATATTTTTTTCCTGTTTTGTAATTTTATATAAGAATTTTTGTAATCACTTAATATTGATTTTTCAATAATAAATATTCTTAATTATTTCTGTAGTTAATTACTATTGAAGCCAGTTATACTTTAATATTTACTAAAAATTTAAAGAAATCAATATTGAAATTAGTTTACAATATATAAATAATATGAAAATTAAATACACTTACTTATTAATTAATTTGATTGTATTAATAAATTATTTATATTTAAATTATTGGTACTTAATTTGTTTGCAGTTATATTTTCATTGTTAATTATAATATATATATATATATATATATATATATAAATATATATATATATATATATATATAATAATATTCTAATATAATTACAAACAAAAAATGAAGACCACAATTAAAAAGTTAAAATTAATTTAAATTTCAAAATAATTAATATAAGCATTAATTTTCACATTATTTATATAATTTAAACTGCAATAATTTAACAGTAACTTCTGTACACAGTTAAATATTGCATATATATAATTATTTTTGATCACACTGGGCATTCGATAATAAATTATATTATTCAATGCATTTCTTTCATTCACAATTTTTATACTTTTTTTGCTATATAGATTTATAATATTCGACTGATTTATATTTCAGTATTTGTGGCATTGGCTAGCCTAATCGAAGCTACCCCCGCAAAAAACAGAAATCCACCATGCATTAAAATCTGCACAGACGACTACACTCCTGTATGCGCTGGTGTTGATGGTGAAAAACCGATATCATTTGGAAATGAATGCGTTATGAGGAATTATAACTGTGAACAACACAAAGGTAAATAAATCTAATCTAATATATATTAACTGAAAGTTGTACTATATTTTATTTATAGAATTGAAAAAGATCAGTGAAGGTGAATGCCCAGGAGGTGGTGGCGTACGACTACAATAAAATTATTCTTATACATATCGTTATACAATATATATAATAAATAAAAGATAACAAATGCAAAAAAGTGTTTTATTCTTACTATTACATGAACAAGTTATTATCAGAGCTATAAACAGTTTTGTAAGGACGACTTGGTATATTCAAGTCTGAGAATAGCTTTGTAATATTTGATGTATTTACAGAATCGATAGTGTTACTGTCTAAATAACAACAATAAATGGATCCTGGCAATTTTAAGAATTGACGTAAAGTTAAAACACCTGCAACTAAACCTCTTGTAAAATTTGGAGTATCTAATATGGTAACATTTAAACGTTCAGTTTTGCTGGTAAAGTCTGTGTGCAAGGCTCTGATTAAACACGGCTGTTCGTCCACATTATCCGTGTTTATATAGAATACAAAAGATAAAAATGTAACACATACAACTCTGCGAGCAACCTCAATCCACGGTCTCAAATCTTCAGTAATAATTCCGGCATAAGGTTCTTCATACTTAGAGGCTACACAAACATGTATATCTGAACTGGGTAATTTATACATCTCTATATCTTTACCGTAAACACAATATGGTGTTAAGCCAAGCACAATGGTCTGTTTAGCAAACTGTTTTGATAATTCATTATCCATAACAAGTAGGGTATCAATTTTTTCAGGTATTTTTTTATCAACTTTCCATTGCCATTGTTGGGGAATATATTGATGGTGGTCTGATTCGTCGTCTAAGCCATCTCCATCCAAGAATGCACGACTGATGGGCTCGAATTCATCCAACATTTTAAAGCAAATGTAAAATTTATTAAGTTAGAAAATAATTTGTATCAATATTATGCCGGATGACTTTTCAAATTTAAAAGAGGTTATGTTTGAATGTTGACAGATGAGGACATATGTCATATGTGTTAACGTGTAATATTACTTATTGTTGGTGATATAAGATTTTAAAATAGACAAAAGTGTTTAACAATTTAAAAAGGACAAATAAGTGATTAAGATGTTTTAACAACTTTGTTTGTTATTGTAATTGTTGATTTATGGAAATGTTAACTTTGTCACTTGACAGTTGAGAATTACAGACCTAAACAATCATTTATTCGCAGTGCCACCACACTTGAAATACTAGGTGAATTATTTAAATATTTAAACTATATTTTGAATTTTAAGGTAGTACATATTATTATAAGTACTTTTAAATTTGTTTTCTATATAAATCTTAAAATTGCATAAGCAATTTAGTTATTAATACTAAGTTTTAAAATGAATTTTAAATATTTTTTTTTCTGACTAATGTTGGTAATCTGCAAAGACAAACTGAAGTGTGTTGAACGTTGGTGATCGTTGAGAAATGTTCGTTGTGATTAATAAAACTAAAAAGTTGTTATAAATCGTTAATATTAAGTGCAAATAAATATTAAATACGAAGATTTGTAGCTGTATACATAAATGGTTAGTTATATTAAAGAAATTTGCATAAATACAGTATAATATCAAATGTTTTCTTGTATTTTTTAAATGTTATTTTCACATGCCAAAATGGCGGCCAATCAACATGAACACTCGGAAATTATTTTATTTATTAATTTAATACAAAAATTTGAGAGATTTAGCAAACCGTATAATAATTTATATACTTAAAATTTTTGATAATTTGTATCTTTTTGCGTATAAACTCTATAATACATTATTTCGAAAAATCTTAATTTCTAAGTCAACCTTGAATGACATTGAAATTAAACTATGAATTTATAGTTAAAAATATTTTTTATTTATTCGAGGATTATTGTAAATTATTTATTTCCTGTTCGATGAATTGAATTAATTAGAATTGAATTGCATTAGGTATTTTTTGAAGAAAATATATGGACCAATTCAGAAAATGACAGTAAAAAAATTAGAGCCAGGTTAGTGACAAAAATTAAACATTGAGACAGGAGAAGTGCCAGGAATGATTTTATGATGACTAACAAGTAGAAATTAATAAAAAGATTTTTTAAAAAGGAGAAGCCTACGAAGTGACAACAGTAAAGGTATTTATCTTTATAATATTTTGAACTTAAGTTTCTAAACAAAATTTTGTGTTCTCAAAACTTCTATATGTCTATTATATATAATAGATAATTTTTAATCAGTTTGATTGTTTCATTGTTTGAAATTGCTTAAAAATTGTTCAAGGTTTTGAATATTATCATTTTTTCTTCATTGTAAGATAATTGACAAATAACATTAATTTATAAAATAATAAATGCGAGTTACAAATTTTGTAAAATTGTGTATCTTGGCCATTGGAATAAAAAAAATTCTTTAATCTAACTGGATATCGATTTAAAGAAAAAAAAGCAACTCTTCTGACGAGCAAATTTGATTATAAAATAGTAAAACATAATGTTACTGACAGGAAAACTGGATATTGGCTAAATTGAGGGAAATAGAACTCTACTGACGATCAAGTTCGATTTTAAATGAGTAAAATAGAACTCTACTGACGAGCAAACCTTACTCAAGAGAAAAAACCAACCCTAGCAATGAACAAATTTGGTTATAAAAAAGTTAAATCTGAAAAATAGACTAGTTTAGTAATTAGACTAGAATAGTTTAAAAAAGTAAATCAAACTTTATTGACCTAAAACTGGACTTTGACTATATTCTAGAACTCTACTGACGTTCAAATTCGATTTTAAATTAGTAAAATGGAACTTTATTGGCAGAAAAACTGGATATCACCAAAATTGAGACAAATAGATAAACAAATTCAAGTTAAAAAAAGTAAAATAGAACTCTACTGATGAGCAAACTCTACTAAAAAGAAATCAAAATTATCTGGTAAACTACAAAAGTTAACATATCGAATATTGAGTAAATATCGATACTTTAGCACAATACTTCTATCGTTATATGAAATTTTTATATTACCATTTATAGTTATATTTTTTTTAATTACCATTAGGTCACTTATTGCCCTAACTTTGATTTTTTAAGTTCTCCGAAGAAAAGATTTATATTTTTATTACAGAATTCTATTTGCCAATTTTATGATTTTTTGAGTCTCTGAATGGTTCGTAAAAAGAAAACATGAATGAAATCGAAGCTATTTGAACATAATTTTTAATACATAGAATATACATATAATTATTTATATTACATATAAAGTACAAAAGCTACATTTCATAAATTATTAATTAAATAATTAAAATAATATTCAAGCAAGTGGCAGTTTTAAAGCGAAATGACTTAGATTTATTCCCTAAATTTTTTTAGGGCTTTATTTATTTATAAGGCTGTTTGCAAGTTACTTTACATTGAAATTAAAACAAATGGTATTACTTATACAAGTTAGAAAATATTGTGCAAATTTTAAAATACAATATTTATATTAAACAAACAATTTAAATGTTGTAAATAATTATAAAAATGCGATAATATTCATATAAATAATAGTTTAAGCTAATTTTCGATAAGCAACCTTTCAATAAGCTAAATGCAAACACATGACTTCAATTAACTACTACTTTGGTATAAAAATATATTTTATCTCTAAACATTTATATTTTTTGTTTTTTTATTTTTATGGATTAAAAAACATTTCATATATTTTTGGTTTAAAAATTTAAATTTAAAAATCTCTTGTATAAGAAATAATACTTAGAGTATAACAGCCTTTATTAGTTAACAAAAAATAAAATGAAATAAATGAAAATAGAATTGCATAAGAGTACAAAAATATTCGAAGACTTTTATTTTTAAGCAATTTGTCCAAATTGTTAAATCAAATTTTATAATACTTACTGATATTTTTATTTTGGTAAGCAAGTACATTAGCCTTATTATTGATTTTAAACGATTTTCAATTTAAAAAATCTATAAATGCAAGTTCCATAAACAAACATATTACTACAATTAACTACTTATACATTTACTATACTGTATGAAATTATATTTTTCTTCTGAATATTTTTTTTTGATTCTATATCAATGTGTAGCTGCGGCCCTGTAGTCGCACCCGTTTCTTCTTCTTTTGTAGAATATATAACCTGTGAAATTTATTAAAATTCAATTGTTTCAGGTATTTTGTAAAAGAAAATATGGATCATGAAGACCAAAAAATAGAACCAGCAAAAAGTATTATTGGTGACAAAAATTAAACCTTGATCCAAGAGAAATATCAGAAATGATTTAATGGTGACCAACAAGTAGAAGTAAAAAAAATTAATCAGGAGTTGACAATTTGATGAAGGTAAAGAAAATTATCTTTTTAATCTTGTAAAGTCGCGAAACAAAATTTCATATTCTTAAAACTTTTATATTATTTTTATCTTATCAGTGTACGAAAATATACAAAGATAATGTTTAATCAGTTTTTCCAAATTTTTATGAATATTATCATTTGTTTACCATCAGATAATTAATAAAAAAAGATATATGTTGGAAAAATTTGAACAAATTTGGTAAAATTTTTTTGTTTGGCTATTGGACAAAATGGGTAATACATAAGTCTTTAAACTGGAGTTTTATTTATATATTTATTAAAAATTTCGTAACTACTTATATCAGAAAGCGTTCGTAGTGTAGTGTTAAAAGCCTTGGTCTTGCAACTATAAATATTTATTTATAAAAAAATCATATGAAATATCCGTTAATTTATCCTGATATCAAGTAGTAATGAAATCAATTATTACTTAAAAATCGATTCCAATTGAAAATAGCCCTTTATCTGCATTGTAGTACCAAACTGAATAAGTATCTAATAAATTTTATCACAAAGAAAAAGGGGACCATTGGGTTGTCTTTAAAAAAAGCTTGATAGGAGAAAATTCATCACACAACAGATTATAAAACTCTTATAACTAATGGGGCGCATGGCATCGTGCCTTAAGGCAATTGCTGGAAGATTTTTGAGAAATTATAAATTTTTGACAAAAATTTACTTTTTTTGAAGAAAAAAGACTTTTTGAAGAAAAATTAATTTTGAAATATTTTGGTAATTATGACCGCCAAATGGCATTTTTTTTACTTTTTTTACCTGATCTCCGAAACCGCTAGATTGCCTTCATGAAAATTTGATCAGTTTTTCATATTGTTAATACAAGTAAAATGTTTTTTGAATTATTCAAATCGAACGCTCCGTTCTCTTAAAAACTGAGTTACCGTTTTTGGCATTTTTTGCCTCATATCTTCGGAACGGCTAGACCTGCCTCCGCCAAAAACTAATCAGCACGTCTTCTTATCAATACGAATTGAATGTTTTTCAAATTATTTAAATCGCTTTATCCGTGTTCCCGAAATCGTCGACGAAAATTTGTATCCGCACACACATACACACATACATCCATTTTTTTTCTAAGGTAAACCAAAATGTTCAGAAGATTTTGAAACATAAAGATATATAAAAAATTTTATTTTCGATTTTTTTGCGATTACTATAACTTGCCCTGCGGGAAGTTAATAAGGAATACAATTAGCAACAAATAAGGAAAACTATTCTGTTACTTGTTGGCGATTTTGATGACTTTTGGAATAAATATACTATATAATTTTAGGTGCCAAGGACTAAAAAAAAATGGTTTTTGCAATATATATATATGCATATCTTAATCTATCGAGATGTAACAAGTGAGTTTACCCATTACTAGGTGCACTCCAAAATAATAAATTTCTTGGTAGCAACCATCTATGACCAAGATAATAGTGCGTTGAAAAAGTAAATTCCAGCCTCAGGCTTTTGCTGAAAATGTATCAGTATTCTGTTGATTAAAAACAAAGTTTTGGCGTCTTAAGTGATAGTTACACTAACGTGGTAAATGCGGTTTGTCATTGAGTTTGGCGTAAAAAAAGATTTTTGGACAAAGGTGGCATCAAGCCTAAGAGTAAAAAAAACAATTTTGTCTATTAACCTAATATGCCAATCACAATCGCAAACACTATGGCCAAAGGAACTCCAACGACCAACCCGTACCAGGAAGCATCATGTGGCTGTTCACTCTGATACGTTTCTACCTCCATGTTGTAGTCATCTTCAGAGACAAAATAGTAGTCATCGTAATTTACCACCTCACTGTCTCGATTTCGAAGCCGATCTATTATGATCTTTGTATAATCTGTATGGTTCTTTAGCACTTTCAGAAAAGTTTGCTTCATTTCATCAGTCATTTTCATAGACATCTGAAAAAATATGAAAAAATAAATGTGGAGACATAAAATACGGCGGATGACTAAAATTTTAAACAGATATTACAACTCAGATTTTGGTATTAAGTTTATTTAAGAATGACTCAAGATTGTATACATCCGCTTCAACATTTCGAAGTCGGTAGATATTGTTCTTAAAACAAATAACTTGAAGACCTATATATTTTAAAGAACTTCCTATAATATAATAGAAAATTCTCGTATCATGGTGCTAATAATCATTCATCCTACAAACTATAATAAAGAACAAGTAGTTAATTGTAGTTATATGTTTATAGGCAAGTTGTCTATTGAAAAATGAACAATAAGTTTTATACATCCCACAACAGCTTGACCGATTTTTATGAAACCTCATATTCACATTTAGTAGAACCGAGAAACGGCTAACATTTATTTTTATTAGAGGTAATAGTACACCACATTTAAGATTTTTTTTTAAAAATTTTGATTAATTTTTCTTGTTTTATTTTATTACAATACATAATTGAAAAACACCCTCAATTTTCACCAGTCTACTACGATCCCTTGTTTAGTAATAAAGTCATTTTTGAACTTGCTTTCAGCAAGTGAATGTTTTTTTTTTTAACTGATATTTAATTAAAATGATTTTTTTATATATAAATTTATTTTGCCTTATAAACTTGTACATTAGCCACATTCCAGAATTTAAACTCAAATCAAATACAAAATTTGGATATAAGTATAACCAATGCATTAATAATTAATTTTCTTGAACTTAGGAAAAAGCTTAATTTTTCTTAGATTTTTTCTATTCCTCAATTCTCCTAAATTTTTTTTAAAATTTCTAAAATATTTTTTTTAACTTCCCGTAGGGCGAGTTATAGTAATCGCAAAAAATCGAAAATGAAATTTTTTATATATCTTTACGTTTTAGATGTGTTTGAACATTTTGTATGTGCGGATACAAATTTTCGTCGACGATTTCGGAAGCACGGATCAACCGATTTGAATAATTCAAAAAACATTCGATTCCTACTGATAAGGAGACGCATTGCTTAGTTTTTGGCAAAGGCAGGTCCGTTTTGGAGATACAAAGGCAAAAAGTGACAAAAATGGTATGTCAGTTTTTGACATAACGGAGCGTCCGATTTAAATAATTCAAAAAACATTTTACTTGTATTGACAAAATGAAAAACTGATTAAATTTTTGCGAAGGCAGGTCCAGCGTCTCCGGAGTAGTGACAATAAAAAAGTGAAAAATAATGCCATTTGGCGGTCAAAACTGAAATAAAGTCATTTGGCGGCCAAAGATTATAATAAGTACAAATTTTGAGTACATTTATATGGGTTCCGTACCAATGTTTACACGTTAGACGATAACGCGGAGCTTACGCGCTTTGATATTTTGACTCAAAATCAGCTATGCAGCGCGATTGCTTAAAAAAATGTTCAAAACTTTCAAAATAAATCAAAATACAAAAAAATCAATATATAAAAAGAATCAATTTTATTCAAAAATACCAAAAATCTAATTTTTTCAAAGTTTTCCAATTTTTTCTAACAATTCAGTTCCCGGTACGGGAAGTTCCAGCAATTTGCCTTACGGCATGATGCCATGCACCATTAGAATTATTTTATTTTTGAACAATACAAAATACATACAACCCTGAAGATAAGACAAACCATAAACTCGAAACGTTTCTAATAAAATAGTGCAAACAAGATTAGAGAGTGTATATATATATATATATATATATATATATATTATATGTATATATATATATTATATATGTATATATATATTATATATGTATATATATATATATATATGTATATATATACATATATATATAATATATACTATATAGTTTACCAATCGAGTTAACAATTTCTTTGTATAATTTTACCAAATGATTTTCGAACTTTTAAAATCAGTTATGGCGTTTTTGAGATTATCGGTCAGAACTCAGTTCACACACACACTTTATCCAATTTTTGGCCTCAAACGATTCAGAAAGATTTGAAAATTAGCAAATCGAATTTTCTGGTGAAAACATCTCATTCGGAAAGGTAGAATCGAAGTAAATAAATATACTACTATATAATAATCAAACTATTTAAATGAAAACTGAGATATGAAAATAATGTATATATATATATATATACATATATAAAAAAACTATTTAAATGCATATTGCTATCTTTCCACAGTATTATTAAAATAATAATAAAATATGTGTATTGTATACAATCATAAATATCATTCTGATTAATGTATGATTCATCAAGATGTTTCTTACCGAACACTTTAGTTTTGAGGGCCCTTATTTATAAGTATTTCAGTTATCTATAATAATTTATTTTAGTTCTAAAATTTAGTTTTACTATCTAATAAATATAACACTCATTAAAACAGGTTTGCAGATACGTTTTTTACAACAAAGTTTACTATGATTATTACTATTTGTACTTACGTTTATAATTTATATTTTGTATTTACGTTTTGCCACAATATTTGATTCACTTATTCCATATTTGTGTACTAAACTACTGAACTAATAAGTTTTTTTAAATTATTTTCTACAAAAATATTTTTTTTGTTCTTATGTGTTCTAAATATTTTTATACACTGTTGCCTGGGCAGATGTCATATAAAATGTAGTCAGATTGCGACACGCCCAGATAAGATTACTTGTATAAAAAATTATATTAAAAAATAAATGTAAACGTTCGAAAATCAATATTTAACCTCCTGGAAATTTTATAAAGATAGTTTTAACTGCATGTAGAAATAGAAAATATTCACAAACTTTTCACTACAAAATTTTGCACATAGAAATATTTACAAACTTCTCAGTACAAAACTTGTGTTTCGAATAGAGTATAAAATATCAATATCAAACAAATTATTGGTTTTACCAACTATTCGATTCGTATTATCGTGATATGATCAGCCAAGCCGTTTCTTCATAATTGGCAGAAGAGTGCAACATGTTTTGTCCACGACTTAGCCAAAAATCTTTCAAAGTTCAAAAACTTTTCAATGGATGTGATGGGAATGGTGCTGATTAATTTTTAGAAAATTTCTTCGTAATTAATTGTTGACGATTTTAATACAATTTTGCTATTGATAAAGTTCATGGTTTTACTAAAATCTTCTACTAGTTAAATTATAAAAATTCAATAAAGTTTGGAATATGATCCATGCTCTTAGCACATACACCCTGTATGTTTTAAACGATATTATGTACTTACCTTGCTGTTAATTCTGAAAAGAGACATAAAAACTTATGTAGTCAGTACTAAAATCAATTATTCATTCAAACCTTAAAAAGCATTTGAATACTATTTATGATTCGTTTTTGGTAAAACCATTTTTTTAACAACCGTTTTAGAAGTCAAAATTCACCCCATCTGATTTGGATATGTATACAGATACACACTTCTTTTTACGAATTTTTAAGTTTTGTAAAAATTAATTTTACTTACCAATATTCTTATAAGGCTCCAACTGGAAACTTTTGAAAGCACTCTAGGCCAAACCCTTCAATTGAAGAGTTTAAGTCACCATTTTATTTAGTTTAACATCACATATTTATATGAAATTTTCTTTACTGCAAAGAGTGATTTATAAGACTTACATTTATCAGTGATTTCTTTTATATCCTTATCAGTAAGAAAATTATATTTATAGCTTCAATTTTTATTCAACAATCTATCCTAGGAAAACCTGAGTTAATTTATCAAAATATGTATGTATATATATATATATATATATATATATATATATATATATATATATCAGGTTGCTTTTTAAAATTTGCCATCGTTAATTTGATTGCTGTGCAAAAAAATAAGCAAAAACAGGTGTAAGTGGTAGTTTTTCTTAAAAAAAATTGCTTGCATTTAACAAATATAAAATGAAATATAATTTAACACAAATTAGTCTAAAATTCAGGAATTTATATATTTTTGTAACAACAAACAAACAGTTGGATTTACCCTTAAATAGACAATCAATATTAAATTATAATTCCAGAAAATAATATTTTTGTTAAAATGCGTCACTTTATTTAGTGTTTGTGACATGTGTTTGCAATTAAATAACATACAATATTTTTAAAAGTTGAAAGATTTTATAACAACTTAGCATACATAAAATACATTATTGAATATTTAAATATTATATTTAATAATTATTAAATATTCAATCAATATAAAAATTTCGATTGGCAAGAATATAAACTTTTATTCGGGAAGTTGAAATAAAAAAATACAATTATTTTAGTGAAAGTTCTACATGCGACCTTCATCTGTCCTTGTGGATATGCATTATCATGATCAACTATTAAAAATATTAATTTTATATATTGGCTTTCATTAAGAGGCACTTATAGTATTTTTCACCTAGTTATCAATAAGTAAAAAATCTATAAAAGTCGTTTCAATAATACTTTTTCTGTTTTTTCTTTTATCCTTATCGTATGATAAGGATACATATGATTTAAATAGTCGTGGACAAGTCGTAAAGCAATTAGTTATAGCTTTACTTCAATAAAGCGCATACAATTGGTTATAAATATAGTTTAAATTAAGCTTGAGGTATTAAGATAACAATAATTATGACGTTGATTTCTATTCATTAATAATATACAGTGCAGGTCTTTGTGCATCCTCCTCTTTGCTGCGCATATATTCCATATAACGCAACTACTTCATGAACTGATGAATTTGGCTAAACTCTGGCCTCTTGCGAACATCCCAATCCCAACACTTCATCATAAACTCGTAGATCTCCACACTGGCCAAATCCGGCTTTGTCATCCGATGTCCATTCCTCAGATGATCAAGTATGTCCAATCCATTAATTCCAGGATTTGGTATTTTGCCCAAAGAGAATATCTCATGGAGTACAATCCCATAACTCCAAACATCCGATTTGTGGGTATACTTTTGGAATTCCAGCGCCTCGGGAGCTGTCCATTTCAAGGCACAGACGCGACTTCTAGATTCGTAAATCTCGTCCTGAATTGCTCGGGTGAGACCAAAGTCGCAGATTTTGGCACGGAACAAATTGTCCACTAAGACATTGCGGGCTGCCAAATCACGGTGGATGTACTTTTGTTCTTCCAAATAGACCATGCCACCAGCAATCTGTTCTGCAAACTCGTACAAATCGGTTTTGTTCAACAGTTCACCCTTTTTGCGCAAGTAACCAAGCAACGAGCCATTTTTCATGTACTCGGTGATTATGTACAACTCCTCATCGGTTTGACAAGTTCCCAACAATGACAATAGATGATTATGTGATACAGTTTTCATGATGGATGCTTCTTGATTAAAATCATTAATCGACTTAACATCTGCCTTGTCCAATTTTTTGATTGCCACTTCTGTTTTGCCATTCCATAGGCCTCGATATACGGTACCAAAATTACCATTTGCCAATTTTTCGCGAATATCAATGTCCTTGAGTGGTACTTGCATGCAAACTTCTTGATTATTTCGGTTTACTTTGCGCTCATTCTTTCTTTTTTTATAGTATAAATATCCTGTGGAATTAATAAAAATAAATAAACACAAGTTGAATCCATATACGGAATCCAAAACTTTTTAACTCCCCGTAGGGCAAGTTATAGTAATCGCAAAAAAATCGAAAATGAAAATTTTTATATATTTTTACGTTTCAGAGGTTTCTGAATATTTTGGCATACTTTAGAAAAAATGGATGTGTGTGTGCGTGTATATGTGTGTGTATGTGCGTGTATGTGTGTGTGTTCGAATACAAATTTTCGTCGACGATTTCGGGAAAACGGATAAAGCAATTTGAATAATTCAAAAAACATTCGATTCGTATTGATAAGGAGACGTGCTGATTAGTTTTTGACGAAGGCAGGTCTAGCCGTTCCGGAGATACGGGGCAAAAAGTGCCGAAAACGGTAACTCAGTTTTTAACAGAACGGAGCGTCCGATTTTAATAATTCAAAAAACATTTTACTTGTATTGACAAGATGAAGAATTGATCAAATTTTCATGAAGGCAGGTCTAGCGGTTTCGGAGATCTCGTAAAAAAAGTAAAAAAATGCCATTTGGCGGTCAAAAATGATCATTAGACATATGAACATCAAATTATCAGATATTTCATAGAGATTTTAACAATAAGAATAAATTTTGTTAACATTCCTATGGGTTCCGTACCAATGATTATGCGTTAGACAGCGACGCGGTGCTTAGGCGCTTTATATTTTGTCCCTATGCAGTTAAAACAGTACGCTTGCTTTGAAAAAAGTTCAGATCTTCGAAAATATGTCAAAATAAAGAAAACAAATTTTTTTTTTCAGAAAAAATTTTTTTTAAAGAATTTTTTTTTTCAAATTTTTTTTTTAATTTTTTTTTTCGAAAAAAAAGTAATTTTTTTGTCCAATTTATAGTTTCTCAAAAATCTTATTTTTTCGAAGTAAAATTTTTTTCAAAAATGTTAATCGTTTTTGAAAAAATAATAATTTTTGGTACGGGAAGTTCCAGCAATTTGCCTTAAGGCGCGATGCCTTAATTGCCTTAAGACTGAATTCCACTTACAGCTAACTAAGTAACGCGTTTTCCAAAATCGAAAACTCAATGATGGGACGTGCAGTGCTGCAAAATAAGAGTTATCTTTGTAACGGCCACCTATAAACTAGATAGTGCGTTGAATAAGTAAATTTTGGTCTCAACTAAAAACTTAAGTTTTTCTTCAGTAAAAATACAATTGCCGGTATTTTTAGTGTTAGTTACCCTGACGTAGTAATGTGGTTTGGAAATAAAGAAAAAACGTTCATTGGACGCGGACCAAAACTTTTGGACAGTGCAAAAAGTGGCGCAGCAAAAGTAAATAATTGGATTCAGAATGTACTAAGTATGACAATGATGGTTTTTTCTACTTACCCAAGATTCCAAGGAGTACTATCACCAAAAGAATCACAAAGCTTAAAGCCCATACCAGTGCATCGGATGAGTCCTTCTTCTGATACGTTTCATACATGTCATCATAATATTCAGTAACGTAGTGGTAATTGCCGTAATTTGGGACTTTTGGGACTCTTTGGCTTGATTTAGCAGCTAATCCATAAGGGTCTTGTTTTTTACCACTTTTAGAAGAGTTTTGTTTCATTATATTAGTCATATTCAACTCAAATTTTTATCTGAAATAAGGGCGAAAATACTCAAGATAACCTAATTGTTAAATAAATATCACAATCCAGAAATTGATAATTATACGTGAACTTCATTTTTAACTAATTTATTAATAATAATATTTATTAACTTCCCGTAGGGTAAGTTATTGTAATGGGCCGAAAATCGAAATTGAAAATTTTTACATTTCTCGACGTTTTGGTTTCTGAATATTTTGGCATACCTCAGAAAAAATGGATGTGTGTGTGTGTATGTATGTATGGATACAAATTTCCAGTTACGTTTTCGGACACACGGATCAAGCGATTTGAATGATTCAAAAAACGTTCGATTCCTATTGATAGGGAAAAGAGCTGATTAGTTTTTGGCAAAGGCAGGTCCAGCCGTTTTGGAGATACGGAGCGAAGAGTGCAAAAAATAGAAATCGATTCTTTGCTCTTTTCCTCCGTAACTGCTGGACCTACCTTTGCCAAAACCTAATCAGCACATCTCCCTATCAATAGGAATTGAATGTTTTTTGAACCACGGACGAAAAATTGTATCCATACATACATACACACACACATCCTTTTATTCTGAGGTATGCCAAAATATTCAGAAACCTTCAAAACGTCGAGAAATGCAAAAATACACACCGGTCTGGAATGCGTAAAAGCATTTCCTTCGCTATACAAAAAAAAAAACATCCTTTTTTTCTGAGGTATGCCAATAAAATGTTCAGAAACCTTCAAAACGTCGAGAAATGCAAAAATTTTCAATTTCTATTTTTGGACGATTACAATAACTTACCCTACGGGAAGTTAATAATTTCCATTATTATTTGTACTTACGTTTTTGGTCACAAATATTGTTTCTCCTCTTAAGTACTATTAAGTATAATCAATAAATAATTATTTATTATTTTGAGCAAGAATAAAAGATTTTTTTCTAAAAAACGTGCACCACCGTTCTTTCAAATTTTATATACAGTGGATATTTTATTGTGAGCCTATCTGGAGCACACCCAAAAGTTTGATAAAAAGTTATATTGTCAATTTATATGGAAATTATTTTATACATATATTACTAACCATAAACTAAATTGTTAAAATCATAAAACATCTAAAATGATAAACTATAGAGATATCTTTATATTCCTAATTATTACTTGAATTAAATTTTTTGTGTTGCTCGAACAAAGTTTTTGGTTAAAAAATAACTTATTGGCAATGTGCAATCTTAGGATTATTTGATGATTATTTGATTTCTGCACTTTGAAATGTTCGAAAATTAATAAAGTACTATAAATTTTAATATTTGATGTAATTCAACATTTAATGCAGTATCAGTATTGTGAAAAAACGGTAATTAGTTAGTAATTATTTTATATTAACAGTTATTTTGAAATTCCCAGGTCTGATGGCGGAATTATTGATGCTGCAAAACAAAATGAGGAGCTGATGAAGAATTTCGTGTCCTGAAGGAGTTATAACTATAGTAATGTAAATATAACAAGTTATATCTAGCAAATTCAACCAAATCTCCAGGATACTCACCCACATCAAACATTATTTAGGTACGTGATGATCTAGATCTAGAATAACTTTTTGGCCATCGGTCAAAATTAACCAAAATGTACTAAAAAGACGTTTATGCCAAAAATATTTATAATTGAATAAGAAAATAATCACAAAAATAGTTTAATAAGTTTTTTCCACTATATCAATGTCTTTCCTGATGCTAAACTTGTGAAAAAATGATTTTTTAAGAAACTTTTCACAATGATACTTACAAAGAGTGGTTGAATTATAAAAATAAAGTTTGGAATAATAGGTTGTGTAAAAATTTCAAAATTGTGTTTTCACAATAGTTGCTAAATTTCAATCCTGGTCGATTATGACAAATATTTACACATATCAGGAAGCTTTTGCAACTTAGCTTGGCAAAATGATACTTAGTTAGAGCATGTATTTATTTTGTTTATTTTTACCTGATTATGATGAACAAACAATAATACATTAATATATTATATTCTCATATTGTCTAAGCGATAATATGCAAAAACTTTGAAGCAGTTCGACAAAAACAAATATTATCAGAATATATTTGAACTTTTTTAAACAATTTGAAAATTATGTTTTTTTAATTTTGTACACTGATAAATCTAATTAATAGATGTGTGAGAGTTTTTAGAATCTAAAACTGATAAAATCAGAAAGATAAAAAAATTTACTTTTATCATATCGTGAACTTCAAAAAATTCTCCTTACTTCTCGTTGATCACAATTAAATAATTTCCTAAAATCGAATCCTAGCAATCCTTCTCAGAATCAATTACTAAAAAATATTTTTTTTACTACTGCAATTAACTTGAAAATCAATTAATTAATTAATAATTAATATTAATATTGCTTGCTTGAATTCTGGCAAACTGGTATAAAACTTTAATAAAAAAATTAAAAAATGACTTGTTAGAAAAATATGTCAATCATTTATTTGAATAGTATTCGATTTACGTAAGAAACAATATTAAAATCAGTGCTTGAAATTTGATTAAATTAAACCCATTAGATTTAGCATAGTTAATTTACAATTTGGATTTATAATTATTTTCTGTATATAATTTACAAACTTAAAATACTACCAATGGGTAGTATTTTAAAATATTACTCTACATTTTAGTCATAATAATAACTGAATGCCTCCTAAGAAGTTGGAATTGGATGCAAATAATAAACAAAAAATATGAAAAATATTTGAGAATACAATTATAATAATAAAAGAGATAAATTATTTAACTAATATTTCTGAATAAATCAGCCCAGATTTTCACCACCTCGCCATCGTTCTACTTTTCTATATTATTATAACTTTTATCACTTTTAAATTATCATGAGAATCCAAAAGTTTTTATTCTTAAACTGAATGTCGACTATCTGCTACTTGACTTTCTTCTACTCCTTTTTTTTGTCTTTTTGACTTTCTAATTTGAAGCAGAATAGATATCATATGAAGCACAAGTAGTTCCATATGAATAGAGCAATAATGTATTTTAATCGCAGCTATTCAATTTATATTTTATGTTTGAGGCATTAACACTTACGGGACGGCATCGATTTTAAAACAATCTACTGTACCGGCTGTAAACTTGATTTCATTGTGTATGTTACGCAATTTGTTTGATAAAAATTTGTGGTCATTGAAGGACATACATTTATAATATTAATTTATTTATTTTTGATCATTTTATGAAGAATGGAGACGTTCAAAACAATTTCTAAAATGCATAGCTGGTTGATTTTGTCATGTTTTACAATAAAGTGCTGTTTGCCGCCTTCTTCCTGGTGCTTTTCTGTCAGAACAGACAATACAATCCCTTTTTCTTTCTCTACTGCCATTTAGAATATGTCACTGATTAGTCAGTATATTTGTTCATTTTTGTGCTGCCATAATGGTTTGTTTTTTCTATTATATTGTCTAATAATTCATTTGTAAAATATAAAGTAAAATAATCTATTGGATGTCTTATATTGCTTGGTATTTGTAGCCGGGGTGTTTGTTGATGTATGTCAGACTATTGAAGGAGAATCGGAACATTCGCTAATGCCATTCCGCTCTTCATTTAATTTGTCGAAATTCTTCTTTTTGTTTGTTGGATAATATCATCATCACATTCATCACTATCTTCGGTGTGAATAGTAATTTCGTAAAATTTGTCTGTATGAATGTCATTTTCACTACTGCTTAATTCACAAAATTTACCAGTCGTTTTGACATATTTAAAAGCGCTCGGTCGTTTTAAATATTAAAAAAAGACTATATAGCAAAGAAAAAGGCTAAAAATACTATTAAAATAACCTAAAATTATTTCCAAAATACAACACTGTTTATCACTGCTATATGTAATTTATTCAACTTTTCGATGCAAACTGAGTCATTGTTTACAAAATAGCCTGTGCCTCACAGAATGTGTTTGTCCACTCAGGTGGACAGCCGTCCCCAAAGTGTTAAAATAAAAATAATATTAAATTGAGCTCTACGCATTGATATATAGTGCAAACGAATCTTCATTAATATATATACCGTTAAGCATATTTTCATTAACACATATATTCATTATGAATTCATGAATCTGTTTAAACTCCGGCCTCTTGTCTTCATCCCAATCCCAACACTTCATCATTAACTCGTAAGTCTCCGCACTCGCCAAATCAGGCTTCGACATTCGATATCCATTCCTCAGGTGATCAAGTATTTCCAATCCATTAGTTCCAGGATATGGTATCTTGCCCAAAGAGAATATCTCATGGAGTACAATCCCATAACTCCAAATATCCGATTTGTGGGAGTATTTTTGGAATTGCAGCGCCTCGGGAGCTGTCCATTTCACGGCGCAGACACGACTTCTAGATTCATAAATTTCGTCCTGAATTGCTCGGGTGAGACCAAAGTCGCAGATCTTGGCACGAAACAAATTGTCAACTAAAACATTACGGGCTGCCAAATCGCGGTGGATGTACTTTTGCTCTTCCATATAAACCATGCCGCATGCAATCTGTTCTGCAAACTCGTACAAATCAGCTTTGTTCAACGTTTCGCCTACCTTGCGCAAATAATTAAGCAACGAGCCATTTTTCATGTACTCGGTAATTATGTACAACTCCTCCTTGGTTTGACAAATCCCCAATAAAGATAATATATTTTTATGTCTCATTGTTTTCATAATCGACGCTTCTTGCTCAAAATCATTAATCGACTTCATATCTGCTTTGTCCAATTTTTTTATAGCCACTTCTGTTCTGCCTTTCCATAGGCCTCGATGCACGGTACCAAAATTGCCACTGGCCAATTTTTCATGAAATTCAATTTTTTTCAGTGGTATTTGCATGCAGTTGCGCCTTTTTCTTATTACTCGGTATAATAAATAACCTGTAAAAGTAATTAGAATTTGATTGCAAGTAAATCCAATGTAGTATATGGTGTAGTAATGTAGTATTTGGCAATGAATGGACGTGAAGACTTTCAATGAGTTTTGACTGTGTTTTCAAAATGTATTTTGAATTTTGATTAAAAAAACTCGCAATATAGGTAACTTTTAACTAAGTTGTTATTTTAATTCACCAAGTAAAAACATTATTCTTTATACACACTGATCTTTCTACTTACCCAAGATTCCAAGCAATACGATTGCTAAAGGAATCACTAGGAAACAAAACAGTTGACCAGTTGAGTCCACTTTCAGAACAGTTTTCATATCAGTTGTGGTATCTTTTAGATACGTTTCTTTCTCCATATTATAGTCATCTTCAGAGACAAAATAGTAGTCATCGTAATTTACCACCTCACTGTCTCGATTTCGCAGCCGATCTATAATGATCTTTGTATGATCTGTCTGGCCCTTTAGTACTTTTAAAAAAGTTTGCTTCATTTCATCGATCAACGACATATTTCTCTGAATAAGATAAACAACGATAAAGATACATCGAATATACAAATTGATACAAATGTTACAATTCAGAGATCGATTCTTGTGTCCATAATTCACCTTTTTTCCCAAAAAGACACTGATTACAATCTTTAGTAAACCATGTAAAGATTAAAGAATAATACCAAAATACCACTTTTTAAATTGAACAAAATAAGCATTTACAAAAAAATAGTATAGAACTTTCTCTTTTTTATGAATAGATGTAAGTGGCATTGTGCTTTATGGCGAGTTTTATGAACTTCTCGATTTATGTGAATAATCGACTTAATCAATAAAAATTCAAATTAATCAACTTTTTATATTGTGACTATACAATTTTGAAATTTTGGGCTCGTTCATAGTTTAACACCTTTCGTAGGTCTATAATAATTAACTTCCCGAAGGAGAAGTTTATGTTTATATAAAAAAATCTGACTCGCTAATTTTATGTTTTCTTGCCGTTTTAAGCCATTCTGAATCGAATGAGGCCAACATTTGGAAAAAGTATGTGTGTGTGTGTGCGTGTGTGTGAAAAGATTTTTTGCCGTAAATCGACATTTTTAAACAAAAAAAAATTTTCAAAAAACAAAAACGGCTGGACCGATTTCAAAAATTTAAAAGCCATTCGATGTATCTCGATGAGGATTTGTGCGATGATCGGATGAGCCGTTTCTTTGTAAATTGCAGAAAAGTGAAACAAATTCTGCAGAAAAGCCCGCAATTCTGCATCGATTTTTAAAATTCAAAAACCGTTTGAAAGATATTGGTTGGGAATCGTGCTGATTAGTTTTTGGTAGAGATCGGCCGGGCCGTTTTTTTTGTAATAAAGTTTAAAAAAAAAATCGACGATTTTTATGGTTTTTTTTTTGACGGTAGATACCATAGTCTTGTAGATCATACTAAAATATTACGGCCCTACGACAATTGGTTTAACTTTAAAAATTTGCCAAAATTTGCAAAAATTGGTTGTTTTTTTGCATTTGTCAAAATTAGATCTTCCATCGACGTTTCCTCAGAAACGCCTGAACCGATTTCAGAAATTTAAAATCTCAATGAGGACTATCGTTTGTCAGTTTGTGAGACGATCTGCCAAGCCGTTTCTTTGCAATTTGAAAAAAAGTGTTAAACTTTTCGTCCACATTTAAGCTTATATTAGAGAATCGATTTCCAAAAATCAAAAACTGTTCGAAAGATATGAGTTGGGAATGATACTGATTAGTTTTAAGTGAATATCTACCGAGCCGTTTTTTTGTAATTAATTGTTGAAAAAAAAATTTAAGCCGATTTTAATGAAACTTTTTTTGACGATATATATCATGGTCTTATAGAACTCACTGAAATATTACGGCCTTACGACAAGTAGTTTAATTTTAAAAATTTATCAAAATTTGAGAAAATGAGTAGTTTTTTTGAATTTTGTTGAAATTAAAATTAAATGATTTAGTTGATATAACGATAGAGTACTTGGTTTTGAACATAGTAAACCATTAAAGTCCTACGGAAACTGGTTCAATTATAAAAACTGCTGATTTTTGAAAATTTGCTTTTAGCAAATACACTGAGTTGACGTGTTCGTTCGTTTTCAATGATGTGTAATAAATCCACTCGAAATACTTATAATGATTCATATATTAATTTATTTCTTATTGATTAAATCGATTATTTACACATTTCGCGAAGTACATGTAACTTCCCTCAAGGCAAAATACCAAAACCAACTAGTTTAGAATGTTTTAAAGATCATGAACTCCATCACTATAAAAAGTTACATCTATATCAAAAATTTATTATGATTATTATTATTTGTACTTACATTTTTAGTCACAAGTATTATATACACTACCACAATCGTATTCTATGTCACTTAATGTAATTAATAAGGTTTTTTTTAATGTTTTTGACAATAATAAGAGATTTTGTCTTACTCGCTCGATATATTTTTTTATATACATTGGATGACTTATAACATGTTATCTGAAGCACACCCAGACGATTAATAAATTATGATGAAGTCAACTTTTGCGGATATCTTTTATTTTACTTAAACTAACAATAAGCTGTGAAATCGTAAATTAAAGATATTTTTCAATTATACTAATATTTATATTTCTTGTTGCATGAAAAATAGTTTTATTCCTAGTTAATTAAGATAACATTCAATTTGTATTGACAATGTGCAATGTCTATTGTGCTTTTGGTAAATGCAGATTCGGAAAAAAACTAGGGGTGCATTGTATAGAAAACAATTTTTTTTAAAAAAGCTTAGAAATTCTCGAAGAAAATTGACTTTTTTGAAGAAAAAAAAATTTCCTTATATTTTTTTGAAAAATTGAATTTATTATTCAAATCTCTATAAAATACCTAATAATTTGATGTGCATATGTCTAATCTAATTTTTTTTATCAAATATCCGAAACCACTGACCTACCTTCAAAAAATTAATCAGGTCTTCTTTCGTCAATACAAATAAAATATTTTTTGAAACATTCAAATCGGGCGCTGCGAAACGACTGGACCTGCCTTTGCCAAAAACTAATCAGCAGGTCTCCTCATCAGTACGCATCGAATGTTTTTTAATCATTCAAACCGGTTAATCGGTGCTCTCGGATACGTCGACGAAAACTGTATCCAAACACACACACACACGCACATACATATATATATATATATATACATACTGAAATATACCAAAATGTTCAGAAACCCCTGAAACATAAAGATATATAAAATCTTGGATTTTTGGACGATTACTATAACTTACCCGTTAGTTAAATTTATTTTGAAATATTTTGGCCATTCTGAACTTTTTTTCAAAGCAATCATACTGCTTTAACTGCATAGAGACAAAATATCGAAGCGCCTAAGCGCCGCGTCGCCGTGTAACTTATGAACATTGGTACGGAACCCATAGGAATGTAAACAAAATTTATACTTATTGTTAAAATCTCTATAAAATATCTGATAATTTAATGTTCATATGTCTAATGATCATTTTTGACCGCCAAATGGCATTTTTTTTTTACTTTTTTTACTAGATCTCCGAAACCGCTAGACCTGCCTTCATGAAAATTTGATCATTTCTTCATCCAGTTCACCCATATAAGTAAAATGTTTTTTGAATTGAAATTGAAAATTTATATCCGCCCACACACACATATACGCACACACACACATACATCCATTTTTTCTAAGGTATGCCAAAATGTTCAGAAACCTCTGAAACGTAAAGATATATAAAAATTTTCATTTTCGATTTTTTTGCGATTACTATAACTTGCCCTACGGAAAGTTAATAAAATATGATTTTATAAGAGCAAAATATATGATAAAATGCAAATTGTGCAATTCTAGTTAAAATGTATAGAAATCTAAATAACTAGTTCAAACCTTAAAAAATATGAAAAAAACGGAAAAGAAGAATATAGAATATCTTAAAAATATATTTTATTTAATGAAAATCGAATAAACTTTAATGAAGCATAGTCAATTATAATAAAACATAATAATTTTTGATAATATATTTTGCAACCAATATACAAAGAATAATACATGAAATTTTATACATTTTAAGATAACTATTACAAGTTTTATTTGTTAATTACGTATATTCATCATTGTTACTTGATGTTAAATTATTTAACAGTTGTAACAAATATTGTAATTAAAAAAAAAATACGTATATTTTTTATTATCTTTTATCTTTTATCTTAATGGTGCCGTCGCATAGGCGTCTTCTCTATTTTCTTGGTCTTGGACATAAACTGATGGTTCCTTCTTTTTGCAACAACATTTTTTTATGCATGCTGCTATGCCAACAACTGAAATGGATAAAAAATTTAAATTATTAAAAAAAATAGTGGTGTATGGCATCGTGCCTTAAGGCAAATTGCTGAAACTTTCCGTACGGTAATGAAATCGAGAAATTTTAAACGTTTTCAAAATATATTATTACAAATACTGTAACTTTCATTATTTTTGCTATCTTATTGTAATATCTGAGCAAATCAAATGTAAATTATACATAATTCAATTTATCTCCAGAACATTAACAATCGTCATTTCATTTCGAATTCAATTTCAAAAATAATTAATAATTATGCCTAATTGCCTAATTTACACAAAATTGAAAATGTTAATCTTTTAAAAAAAAAATAATTATTGGTGCGGGAAGTTCCAGCAATTTGCCTTAAGGCACGGTGCTATGCACCCCATTAGTTTGTTGAAGGCATAAACATCACCTTCGACAAGTTAATATTAATGATGCCAGAATAAAGGGTGCAATATTTTCTAGAATTTATTAAGTAAATAAATTAACTCACCAATTGCAATAATTCCTATCACAGCTTTGTACACATGGCGAATTTTCAATGGTGACAAATTTCTTTCATAATTGTATTGCTGTGTTTTCTTTCTCGCCTCTTCAAGGATCCTGTTCATATCCATTGTAAAAATTCACAAGTGCAATTAAAAAACTAGGAATTAACAACTGTATTAATTTGTAAAATTACCAGGCCGTATTAACTTGTTTCATGAAATTTCCAGGTCGTTCTGATGGCGGAATTGATATCTGTGAATAACTAGGAGTAATGAAGGAGCTGATGAAGACTTTACGTCGAAGACACATTTGCTTCAAACTGATAAATTTTCCTGGTGAAGTTATGGCTGAAATAACGCACATACAGTTATAATTAAGGGGCACAACTAGTGTAACCGCCTAAAAAAAAGTGATTTTTGGGAATTTATATTAAAAAAATACTTTATCAAACATTTCAAAATTTTAAGAATATATTTACACATATTTCAAGAATACATAGTAAAATTTTTGAAGAAAAAAATTAAATATTTTTTAAGTTACCATCGATCTCCAACGGCGCGAAAAAAGGCCCTTCACTGCTGCAGTGATTCCGGCCTTCTACGTGGATGAAATTTAATAAAAAAAAAATCTCGTTAAACTAGATAATATTGTCTGTAAAATGACCTACGATAAAAAAAATCAAAAATTGACAAAATGGCGGCGTTTTTTTTAAAAAAAGACGAAGTTTACTCAAAATTTTGGTCGTTTTTGGACAGCCAAAATTCGATTTTTAAACCGATCAAAAATCGATAGTTCATTTTACGGAGAACTATATATAGAACATGTAAAAAAATTGATAGTGATCGGATTATTTGTTTTTGAGTAATCGCTGCAGCAAATTCGGAAAATGCTGTTTCGAGAAAAACGCGATTAAAGATAAAATAATCGTTATACTATATACTATATATATACTCTTTTAAATGGATGTAACTCAAAAACAATTTGAGATATCGATTTGAAATTTTAGTATGTTTTTTTTAAAGGAGTAATCTACCGAAATATGTAAAAAAAACAAAAATCGATTTTTTCGCAATTTCACCCTAGTTGTGCCCTTTAACATATGCAGCCAAAGAAAATATATTCAAGGAACTGATAGTTTTCCACATTCATCAGGTAAGTAATGATCTAGATTCTACATTTTAGAATATGAACATCTAATTGTAAATGTCTAAAAGAAATGAATTCATGGGTTATAGCCAGGTGCGAATAGCTAATTTGGGACTTAATTAATCATCCCTGATGAAATTTGTTGAAACATCAGTGAGTTTTAATTTGATTTATCCATTTTACATACCAAAATCCTAGCACTCACCTTAAATATATTTTAATATCTTGCAGACTAATTGATTTCAATTTATGAACTTCTGGTCATTTAGCAAAATTAACAAATATATGTATAAATGGATATTTAGATGAAATATTAAATAGGTGTATTTATATAAATTAAATTAAAATTACTTTAAATTTTAAATTTAAAATTACTGGCTAGATCCATAAACATATTTGGCTGTTAACATCTTATTAGACTAATAATAAGTTATTGAAACCACAAAAATGTTATTGATGCAATTTTGAATTTCATGATGTTCTCAGAAAATTAATGTAACTTCTTAACCGATTTTAAAGCTTTGAAAAACATTCAAATCCTATTGATAGACGATGATTTAAACATCTCATTGTTAACCAACCAGGTCTAGTAATTTTGAAAAATAAATATTTATAATATTATGATTTATAATAATTTAAAAACCATTTTATGTCAAAATCAAGAGTATTTGTTAATATTACCAATATATATGAATCTTTTAATAATATGCATACTTTTTTTTATGATTTTAGACTCTTACTAGACTCTTTTTCCTAACTTCCCGTAGGGCAAGTTATAGTAATCGCAAAACAATCGAAAATGAAATTTTTTATATATCTTTACGTTTCAGAGGTTTCTGAATATTTTGGCATGGCCGCATGTTTATGTGTATGTGTGTGTGTGTGTGTTTGGATACAAATTTTTGTCGACGATTTCGGGAACACCGATCAGCCGATTTAAATAATTCAAAAACATTCTATTCGTATTGATAAGGAGACGTGCTGATTAGTTTTTGGCGAAGGTAGGCCTAGCCATTCATCAGTTTTTTAGAGAACGGAGCGTCCGATTTAAATAATTCAAAAAACATTTTACTTGTATTGATAAGATAAATAATTGATCAAATTTTCATGAAGGCAGGTCTAGCGGTTTCGGAGATCTAGTGAAAAAAGTAAAAAAAAATGCCATTTTGCGGTCAAAAATGATCATTAGACATATGCACATCAAATTATCAGATATTTTATAGAGATTGTAACAATAAGTATGAGTTTTGTTTACATCCCTATGGGTTCCGTAACAATGTTCCGTTAGACGGCGACGCGGCGCTTACGCGCTTTGACATTTCGTCTTTATGCAGTTAAAGCAGTACGATTGCTTTGAAAAAGTTCAGAATTTCCAAAATATGTCAAAATAAAGAAAACATTTTTTTTTCAATAAAATTTTTTGTTCAAAAAAAGGATTTTTTTGTCAAATTTATAGTTTCTTAAAAATCTAATTTTTTCGAAGTAAAAATTTTTCAAAAATGTTAATCGTTTTTAAAAAAATAATAATTTTTGGTACGGAAAGTTCCAGCAATTTGCCTTAAGGCACCATACCATGCGCCCCACTAGTTTTTTTTATTTATTTTAAATTTTTATACTTATCATATGGATTAATTTATTAATTAATTGCTATTTTTCTAAGCAATTTATTTATAAAATAGTCGCTGTTCATTTATTTTTCTTGGAGCAATTTCGCCGGTAATTTTTTTCTTTACCAGATCGTCTCCTTTAATACCTTCCTATCAATATGTGCATTTATCGCTTCATTTTTTACATTCAACAATCAATTCCAGGAAATTCGTAGTGTAAACAATATTCTGCCCTCTTTGCAAAAACTGATAATCGATAAATCAACAATATCAATACATTCTTAAACGTACATTAGATTTTATTAGAAAAATATTTACAATTACAATTACATTAACGGAAATAATTTATTTTTTTGCATTTTTATATTATTCATAACTGTTTTTTTGATCTTGATTTGAACTGATACGATGTGGTTAAAGTTATAAATAAATTTATGAATTTATTAAAAGTCTTGTTCGTTTTTCAAAATGACTACTTGACTTTCTTCTTTTCCTTGTTCTTTCTCTCCTCCTTGGCTTTCCTTTTTTCTTCGCGCATTCTGTCTTTGTACGTCAGAGATTTGTATAATTTGTTTGCGAAAAATGCTGAAAAAAATAAAAAATATTAATAGAATTAATTATTTAGATTTTATATTTTATTTAAAATAATTTTTTTATTTTAGTCTTGTTTCTTATACTATAATACTATAAAATCTTATGTTATAAAAGTATAATTTTTGTTAAGGAAGTAACAATACTAAAATAAATAAAAAATAACGATATCAGTACCAAATCCAAGGACATAGTGCTCCAAAATTATAATTAAATTATAATAAAAATTATAATTAAATTTTGGAGCACTACATCAAGTAAAGAAAATAAGATTTAAAACCTTTTTTGGTTTTCCAGATGTTTGACACACAATTTTATGTCATCATCAGTGAATACACAATTTTGAAATAAAAAATTGCGAAAGATCTGTTAAACTAACGTTTCTCAAAAATTTGTTTTTTTTGTGCCTTTCGAGATTTTATTTATGTAATAATAATAATAAATATAGTAGTCTGCCCGAAGGCAGGTTCATGATGTAAAAGCACCACAAATCAATAATTCTCTTTCTCTCTCTTGTTTATTATTGTGATTTTTATAATATAATATAAATTTTATAAATTTGCAAACAATTATTAAATATACTGAAGATGAGAAGAGAATCATTTGACCAATGTTAATGCAAAACCAATGTAATTTAAAATTGTAACTATATTCTAGCAAACGTTTCGTTGCAAATTTGTGTCATCTTCAGTGCGATAGATCCAAATAATTTAAATGAAACACAATGAAAACCATTATTATTTTTAACTATGAAAAATTATGAATAGACGATATTGAATTTTTAAATGAGCAAATGTTAGCTTTTCTAACGTCCCTAAGAGAAGTTGACGTTTTCGCCAGAAAATCCAATTCGCAACTTTATCTATTCTCAACGTTTCAAGTCGTTCTGAATCGTTTGAGACCGGAATTGTAAAAAGTGTGTGTGTGAATCAAAAATTTTCATTTGTCAACGTTTTTTGAAAACATCTGCATCGATTCAAATATTCAGAATCCATTTAATGGAACTCGATAAGAAACTTGTGTTAACAAGTTTTGGACGAAGATGGGCCAAACCCTTTCTTTATATTTAGCACATGAATGCAAATTTTTTTGCAAGAGTTTTCACCAAAAACACTAAACTGTTTTTAAAATTTTTTAAATCGTTCGAAATATATTAGTTGAGAATTGTGCTGATTAGTTCTTGGTAAATATCGGTCGGGCCGTTTCTTTGATTTTGCTGGAACTTCACTCGTTGATACAATTCATAATTTTAATGAACATCTTTAAATATTATAGGCCTACGGAAAGTGGTTTAATTATAAAAAATCATCAACATTTGAATAATGGGTGAGATTTCAACACATAGCGTTGTTATGGCAAAGCTATCTTATCCTTTTTTCTTGATACTAAAAACCGTAAAAATGCTATACATTTGCTGTGGGGTCAGGCGTATTTTACATATAAACAAACCTAGAAAGAATGTTATCATAACAGCATCTTTGTGAAAAACGACTGATAGTATAGTAAACGGATAGCATTTTTACAGTTTTTGGTACCAAGAAAGAAGGATGAGATAGCGTTGCCATGGCAACGCTATGTTATCGTCTAAGTTACCGCAGAATTGGCTGCTTATAGAGAAGTTCATACAACTTGCCTTTAGACTTTACACTTTAGAAAAGTATTTTAATACGCAATATTACAAACCTAACAATCCCGCAATCAACAGCAAACACACGAAAAAGAGCGCGTAACTTTGAAAAATCGACATTCTGACTTGCGACACCAAATCGCCTTCGACTTCCTTAAATTTCTCTCTCAATTGCGATTTTATTTTATCTTTTATAACTTTTTTCTCTTCGCCGTCTAATTGATAGAATTTTTCCATTAAATCTTTTAATTTTTGTGTAATATTTGAGGCTAGTTCTTTGCCTTCGTCAGATGCTAAAAGTTTTGCGATTCCTTCAATTGTTTTGACGAATTTATTTTCCTCATCATCATCGGTGAATTGTTCGAGAAGTTCGTTTTCGTCAGCCATAGTAAAAATACACGATTTATATTAAACTAATCGTTTTTGATCACAAATTTGACAACTGAAATTATGCAAAACAACTACACACTTAGTAATCGAATTATTATTTTGTTTATTAACTATTATTTTATTTTTGTACGGTTATGTTTTATATTTAATGTGTTTTTAATTCAAGTATGACTTTTGTACTAATCCAAAAGACTTTGATTGATTAGGTAATAAAAAATTCTGAATAGATTTTTTATTGTATAGATTGTGTTCTTATCAACGATAACACGTATCAATTGGTTGTTTTGTGATAAATTATTTATAACTATATTACACGATGTAATATCTAGTGTTTAAAATCACAGAAACATAAAATTTTTGTTGTAGATAATTTTTAACTTTCCATAGGGCAAGTTATAGTAATCGCAAAAAAATCGAAAATGAAAATTTTTATATATCTTTACGTTTCAAAACCTTCTGAACATTTTGGCATACCTCAGAAAAAATGGATGTGTGTGTGTTTTGTATGTCCGCATTTTTTCGTCCACGTTTTCGGGCGCACGGATCGACCGATTTGAATGGTTTAAAAAACATTCGATTCCTATTGACAGGGAGATGTGCTGATTAGTTTTTGACAAAGGCAGGTCCAGCCCTTACGGAGATATGGAGCAAAGAGTGCAGAAAATAGAAATCGAGTTTTTGAGAGAACGGATCATCTCATTTGTATGATCCAAAAAACATTCAATTCGTAATGAGGGTGAAAAGTGGTTATTAGTTTTTGGCAAAGGTAGGCCCAGCGGTTTCGGAGATACAGAGCTAAATGCTAACTAGCTGTAAGTGGAATTCTGTCTTAAGGCAATTAAGGCATCGTGCCTTAAGGCAAATTGCTGGAACTTCCCGTGCCAAAAATTATTATTTTTTTAAAAACGATTAACATTTTTGAAAAAATTTTACTTCGAAAAAATAAGATTTTTTAGAAATTTTAAATTGGACGAAAAACTATTTTTTTTTGAAAAAAAAATTTTTTGAAGAAAAATTTTTTTTAAAAAAAAAATGTTTAAACAATTTTTTTTATAAAAATTTTTTTTTGGAAAAAATGTTATCTTCATTTTGACATATTTTGGAAGATCTGAACTTTTTTTCAAAGCAATCGTACTGCTTTAACTGCATAGAGACAAAATATAAAGCGCGTAAGCGCCGCGTCGCTGTCTAACGGAAAAACATTGGTACGGAACCCATAGGAATGTAAACAAAACTTAAACTTATTGTTAAAATCTCAATAAAATATCTGATAATTTGATATGCATATGTCTAATGTCTAATGATTATTGTTGACCGCCAAATGTTATTTTTTTTTAGTTTTTTTTACTAGATCTCCGAAACCGCTAGACCTATCTTCATGAAAATTTGATCAAATCTTCATCTTGTTAATACAAGTAAAATGTTTTTTGAATTATTCCAATCGGACGCTCCGTTCTCTTAAAAACTGAGTTACCGTTTTTGGCCCTTTTTGCCCCATATCTTCGGAACGGCTAGACCTGCCTCTGACAAAAACTAATCAGCACGTCTCCTTATCAATACGAATCGAATGTTTTTTGAATTATTCAAATTGCTTCATCCGTGTTCCCGAAATCGTCGACGAAAATTTGTATCCGAACACACACACATGCACGTACACACACACACACACGCACACATACATCAATTTTCTCCTAGGTATGCCAACATATTCAGAAACCTCTGAAACGTGAAGATATATAAAAATTTTCATTTTCGATTTTTTTGCGATTACTTACCCTATGGAAAGTTAATTATAAATAAATCAATTTATCATCTCCAGAACATTAACAATCGTCATTTCATATCGAATCAAATTCCAAAAAAAAAATAGTTGCCAAATTTACACAAAATTGAAAAAGTGCTCCCGCATAGTCACAGTCTAAACGCATTTGCAAATAATTCTGTGCGACATTTTCACTTATACTGTGCTCAGCTTGGCGGCATTTTCACATTTTTCAATAATTTTCACAAAATTGGAAAAGTGCTCCAGTACACAAACAGTCTAAACGCAATTGGGTAAACATTTGTACCAGAGTGGCGCTTAGACTGTGCTTAGCTTGGGTGATTTTTTGAATTTTTAATCCAAAATTACAAAAAAATTTTTTTTAAAAAAAAATTAGAAACAAATTTTTTTTTCTCCAAAATCAATTATTTTGTTGAAAAAAGCAGAAAGTTCTTTGAATCATCTAAATCGGACGCTTAGTTCTCTCAAAAACAGCCATTTTTTTTAAATTTAGCTCTGTATCTCCGAAACCTCTGGGCCTACCTTTGCCAAAAACTAATCAGCACATCTCCCTATCAATAGGAATCGAATGTTTTTTAAACCATTCAAATCGGTTGATCCGTTCTCTCAAAAACTCGCTTTCTATTTTTTGCACTCTTTGCTCCATATCTCCGTAACGGCTGGACCTGCCTTTGCCAAAAACTAATCAGCACATCTCCCTATCAATAGAAATCGAATGTTTTTTAAACCATTCAAATCGGTTGATCCGTGCGCCCGAAAACGTGGACGAAAAAAAGCGGACATACAAAACACACACACACACACACACACACACACATCCATTTTTTCTGAGGTATGCCAAAATGTTCAGAAACCTTCAAAACGTCGAGAAATGTAAAAATTTTTGATTTCGATTTTTGGACGATTACTATAACTTACCCTACGGGAAGTTAAAAAAATGGCAGTTTTTGAGAGAACTAAGCATCCGATTTAAATGATTCAAAGAACTTTCTGCCTGTTTCAACAAAATAATTGCTTTTGAAAAAAAAAATTTTTGTTTCTGACTTTTTTTTCAAAAAATATTTATGTAATTTTGGATTGAAAATTCAAAAAATTACCTAGGCTAAGCACAATCTAAGCGCCACTCTGATACAAATATTCACCCAAGTGCGTTTAGACTGTTTATGACGGGGAAAAACTTTTCCAATTTTGTGAAAACTATTGAAAAATGTGAAAATGCCGCCAAGCTAAGTACAGTATAAGTGAAAATGTCGCACAGAATTATTTGGAAATGCGTTTAGACTGTGACTATACGGGAACGCTTTTTCGATTTTGTGTGAAATAGGCAACTATTTTTTTTTTGAAATTCAATTCGAAATGAAATGACGATTGTTAATTTTCTGGAGATAAATTAATTTATGATTTACATTTGATTTGCTCAGATATAACAAGATCGCAAAAATAATGAAAGTTACAGTATTTGTAATAATATATTTGAAAACGTTTAAAATTTCTCGAATATTTCATTACGGTACGGGAAGTTCCAGCAATTTGCCTTGAGGCACGATGCCATACACCACTAGTTATAAAACAGATTTAATTAAACATTGTTCTATGTCTATCTATTCTCCTTACCGAAAACTGATACTATAATCGCCACCATGGCCAACATGAACAAGACTTGTTGAAATGTGACCCCAGTAGCCCCCGTGGTGTCCTGAGAAGCAGCCCTATTTGCCTGTTGAAGCAAAGAATCCCTCAGGCTCTGTTTGTCTTCCTCGGACATGTCCATTCCTTCTAACATTTTTAATAATTCTTCACCACTTGGCAAAGGTTGTCCATCTTGGCCGAATTTTAGTGCTTCGTCAGCCATCTGGGAAAAATATAGATATAGACAATAGATAATGGATAGTAGATAATAGAAACTAATTTTGTTAGGGCTAAAGATAAGTTCATTAACATAAAAAGTAATTTTAAAGTTCATTATTCAAATAGGAAAATAAGATGCTGCTGAGAGGCAAAATGACTCTTAACATAAGGGAAAAGGTGACTCTACTAAAGAAGAATAAAAGAACTTTACCAACAAGCAAACTGAGTCTCGTCCTGGGCAAAAAACCTGTAAAATGCTACATTTGTATCTTATGGATCAGAAACAAAAAGTTTATACATCTCGCCTTTAGTTTTTAGACTTTAGAATAGTATTTTCCAATGGACAATGGGTAAAAATATTTTTTTCAGTTATAACATTGTTGGTCAACTTTACCTGTAGCTAATTTTTGTTGGCTTTTCTTAAAATAAGAAAAGCCAACAAAAATTAGCTACAGGTAAAGTTGACCAACAATGTTATAACTGAAAAAATTATTTTTACCCTAGTTTTAGGTATAGAGTAATAATATTTATTATTTATAATTAATAATAAATTTTCTAATTTTTTACAAATATTTTGATAATATGCATATACTTAATATTTACTAAAGTTAACAATATTCTTATAGGATTCTTGATGGAAACCAATTAGATCTTGTATAAAAAAATATTGGTAAAAATTGGATAAAAAAGTTGGAAGGACCAGGATAAAAATGATAAAAAATATAATATAATGTAATAATATAATATAATATAATGATATAACAATACAATTCACAAGGTAAATAATTACCAAAGAAGAAATTTGTGAAATATAATAGCAAATTTTAATATTGGAGAAAAAAGTAATAAAGGAGTAAATAAAAGGTGAGTGAATAATAATAATATTAATAATTTGACGACTAATCGTGGCAGTTTAAATTTATAAATAGTGATTGAATGTTGTTTTATAATAAATAATTTATAATATATCTTGGCCATGAAATTTTATCTACAACAAAACTATTTTTTCTATATTTATAGATTTAATTGCTTCAATAATGAGTCTATAGATTACAAAAGTATTTGCGAATATTTTATATGAAATTAATTTTATAAAATATTTATAAACAAAAACTATTACAAAATTATCTGAATTTCATAAAATTAATTTACTAACAAAAATAATCTAATATAATTGTGTAAAAACTGTAAAATTTGTTTATAAAATACACTGTTAATTATAAAGTTATTTTATGAATAATAACTTTTATGAAATAATTAGGAATCCAAACAATTATTTTAAAAACAACAAATTAATCTAGAATTCATAAAATGCAATGTTTAAATATTTGAAACAAATAGAGTGTGTAAAATATGTTATAAATATAAAAAATGTGGAATAAATATTCTTGCAATTTATATAGACCAGAACAAATAGCAATAATTTGAATAAAAAATTTATTTTGTTAAACAAATTAATTATTGGAATTATTTTTGGACTTTTATAACATAAATTTTCAGTTAACAAAATAAAATATTTTCAATATACTCTTAAGAATGACCTCCAGTTAAAAATTTAAACATATAATATTGTTCATAATGAAATTAATTTTAAAATGAAAAACGAATAAACATGTAAAAATTATCAGTTTTGATCATTGATATAATAATACTAATAAAATTAAATTAAATTTGAAATGTAAAACAACAAACAAAACCATCAGTTTTGGAAAATGTTTATGATTAAATTATTTAAAATTTAAAATTAAATAATAAATTACATTTGAAATATAAAAAGTATTCTCATATCTGATAATTGTTTAAAATAATATTCAGAATATAATTAAACTTAAAATGTGAAAAGTATGATAATTGTTTATAATAATATTTGGTATTTAATTAAAGTTAAATGTAAAACGTACTATCAGTTTTCGTAATTGTTTAAATTAAATTATGGGAAATATAAAATTAAATGATAAATTAATTTGAAATATAAAAAGTACTACAGTTCTGATAATTGTTTATAATAATTTTATTTAAATTTAAATTAAATTTGAAATGTAAAACGTACTATCAGTTCTGATAATTGTTTATAATTAGATTAAATGTTCTGAAAATGGTTATAATATTATTAAATAAATTTGAAATGTAAAACTTACTATCAGTTCTAATAATAATTGTTAAAATAAAAATATTTGAAAAGTATTACAATTTTTAATTAATTATTTTAATCAGAAATACTAGTGTATTTCAAGGAAAAAATAATATGTTATAATAAAATAATTTTGAAAAATTAATAAAAAAAAGTATTTCTGATAATATGAAATAATTAGTACTGATAATTTTATAATAATATTATTTCAAATAAAATAAAATTTCAAATATGAAACGTACCTATTATCATGCAATACTGATAATGACATGTGTAGCAATTGACCACGTGTATTATTTTTTACATATGGATACAATTTCAATATTGTAAAAAATACAATAATTAGATTTTACAATAACACTCTTCTACTTACAAAAAAGTTTTGTAATAAATTGAAATAAATATATAATAATAATATTGGTAGTAAATATAATTTGTATACATTTAATAATTAAATAAATTCTGTACAAGTATTGAAATAATATAAAAATACTCAATACATTCTAGAATAACATTTTTTAACTACACCTAAGTCTGTTTTTACACGGAGATTGGTTCCAGAAGAAGCCGTGTAAAAAAAAACGTGTAAAAAAAGACATTGATCTTATACAAAAATGGGTGATTAGTTCCTAATCTCTAAACTTATTAAAATTAGTAAAATACAATAATTTTAAGAACAAGAATTAAATTAGTGCTATTCACATTTGCTTTGACCAGTAAAAATTGTTTGTACGCGCTAAAGTGGAATTCACTTAAATCTTTAAGCTAGTATTCGCAAATTTCGATACTATCGACGTTTTCAGACTTTTTTCTTTCATAAATACTTTTTGTGACAATTTTGACAAAAAAATTTAAGTACATAAAATTTCAAATCGTGCTAAATGGAATAAAATCGTGTAAAAAAATTAAAAATATTGAATTTTCAAACCGTGTTATATCAAAACCGTGTACAAAAAGACCGTGTAAAAACAGACTTAGGTGTATATCTGTTTTATGAATGATATGAATTGTTTAAATTATTAACTAATACTGTTATTATAATGACTTATTATAAGATTTAAGACTTATTACAGATTCAAGTCCTCATAGTAATAATATTATCTTGCAAAAAAATAAAAGAAACTTTTCGACATACAATCTTAGGTCATCTTCAGTTGCTATAATTTTTTTTTTGTTACAATTTATTTTTTGTTAATCAAGACACTATAAAATTTGAAAAAACTCAGAATATAGATTTGAATAAAATATAATGGCTAATAATAGAGATAATAAATATAATTTACATTTAGTGTGCTGAAAAATATTTTAGGTTCTCTATATTAAAGGTACTCTATATTGCATTAAATTAACACTGAAGATGATACAGGTATGCATGTAGAAACGTTTAAAAAAATTCTTAAAATTATTTTGTAAATATATATCATATCACTTACAGCGTTGTTCTTTCAGATAGTTTATTCCAACAATCAATGAATTAATCAATTAGTTAATTAGTAACAATTAGTTTTTCTATTTCAATAATAATATGACATACGTTGGCAGTTTGCTTTACACGTTGGAACTTGGAACTAAATACAAAACAACGCTGGCACTCATTTGGAATAAACGGTATCTCTCTCTCTACGTGTATGTTTTTAGAGTGTGTGTGTGTATGTATGTATGTATGGAACTCATTTCACATGTGTGCGAGTATGAAGAAAGTGTTAAAAGTTCTCAACATGTTAGAGGAAAATAATTAAAACTAATGGTGCATGGCATCGTGCCTCAAGGCAAATTGCTGGAACTTTCAGTACCATAAATTAAAATTTTTAGAAAAGCTTTGAAATTTTTTAAGAACTGAAAGAAATTAGATTTTTGAGGACTTTTTTTATATATAATTTGACGATTTTGAACTATTTTTAAATAATTTGATGTTGCGTTGCATAGTTGTTCAAAGACGAAATATCGAAGCGCATTAGCGTCGTGTCGCAGTCTGACGAACATAGGTACAGAACCCATAGAAATGTGAACAAAATTTATACTTATTGTTAAAATCTCTATAAAATATCTGATAATTTGATGTGCATATGTCTAATGATCATTTTTGATCGCCAAATAACATTTTTTTTACTTTTTTTTGTTAGATCTCCGAAACCGCTAGACTTGTCTTTATGAAAATTTGATTAGTTCTTCGTCTTGTTAATACAAGTAAAATGTTCTCTTAAAAACTGTCTTACTGTTTTTGGCACTTTTTGCCCCATATCTTCGGAACGGCTAGACCTGCCTTTGCCAAAAACTAATCAACACGTCTCCTTATCAATACGAATCTAATGTTTTTTGAATTATTCAAATCGCTTCATCCGTGTTTTCGAAATAGTCGACGAAAACTTGTATCCGCACACACACACACACGCACACACACACACGCACACACACACATACACGCACACATATATCAATTTTTTCTTAGGTATGTCAAAATGTTCAGAAGGGTTTGAAACGTAAAGATATATAAACATTTTTCATTTCGATTTTTTTGCGATTACTTTAACTTGCCCTACAGGAAGTTAATTACTGGCTCAAGGCAATTGCTGGAACTGCCGTACAGTAATTAAATATTCTGCAAAATAAAGCAATTAATGATCAAAAAAATTTATCAATTAATATTAACAATTTTTTTCAAATATTCAAAATATATAATATAAATACTGTAATTTCATTGTTGTATATTATAAATCTAATATAATATAAGTGCTTATATTTGAGCGAAGAACTTTATCTATGTTTTTCTTCAAGAACGAAAACACAATAAACAACACGATCACACAGCAATATGCTTTTTGAATCCCCTATCGGATGTGCCATTCTCTAATTATTTACATTTTTAGCTCCATATTTCCGAAACTCCTAGATCTTTCATCACAAAATATAAAATTGCCTAAACTAATCGAAAATGAAAAATTTCATATATAGTAACGTTTCGAATATTTCTGAACGTTTTGCATATCTTAGAAAAAAATGAATGTATGTGTTGTGGTTTATGCATGTGCGGATACAATTTTTTATTCACTATTCGAGAGCATAGATCAACCGATTTGATAGATTCGGATACTATTGATGCGAAAGAAAAAATGCTATTATGGCGGTCGAGACTCAAATCAGATATTTTTAACAGTCTGGATGAACCGACATAAATCTACATATTTCAAGAACTTCAAAATTTTCAAAAAAAAAAATTCAGTTCCCAAAAAGTCTCCAAGTTTTCAAAAATATCATTATCTTTAAACAAGGCATTTTTTTAATTTGTTTAAATATTCAAATTATTAAAAAATGTTAAAAAATTCAAAATTCTCAAAAAAATCAAATTTTTCATTTCTGAACTTTTAAAAATTTTGAATAACGGCACGGAAAGTTCCATTAATTTGCCTTATGGCACGATGCCATGCACGACTAGTTTTCAAAATTGTGTAAAGTGCTGAATGAAGACACACATTCAGTGTCGAAACGTACATTTTATTTCGACTATTTGGCTGCAAATAATTATTAAGAATATGTTTTAATGTCGAACGGAAGATTCTTAATCTTATTTGTATTTGTTTATATTTATTATTAATTTATAAAAAAAGAACAGTTTTAGAATCCGTGACCATCTCCTCGCACTTGTCTACATTGATAACTGTATCTTTCGTTCAGGTTGTTTTATTTTATTTTTATTCCATTTTGCATACGCGAGCAACTTTTACGCTTTAATTGTTGCCTCCAATTACATTACATTATTTCTAATAATTAATAAAATACATAAAAAATATTATTTTGACCAAGAAAATGAACATTCTATTTATTCAATTGAATATTTTTGTACTTGGCAAAGATATGAATCGAAATTGTTTATTTATAACTTTTTTTACAACGTAGTTATATTTACATATGTTGTTTTTGTATTTATTGTATATTTTATAAATATTATTTGTAAGGTGTGTTTTATATTTTCAGGAGCATTTAATATGTAATCCGACTGTCAAAGTAACTTTCAGCTGATATCAGAAAGCAAAGGTTGAAGGAGAAAATTTTATTCGAGAATAAATTAACCCTCCGTCGGTCGGCGTGGTCTGGCCAAACTTTTTTCGACTTCAATTAAAAAAAAATACTTCTAGTAATCCTATCGACTTGAAATTTCTTGGCTTTTCCTAAAATTTCATTAGCTGTCGATCAATGAAAAAATCAGGACGAAAAAATGTACAAGGATAATTTAAGGATATTAACCTTTTTATACTTCGAACGGTCGGAGTGGTCTGTCTAGACCACCCATACATTTTGTATGAAATATACGCTTTTTGATATATGTAA